TCCCATTGGATGGGATGTCATAAACTGATTCCTTGGTGGTCTTATGCCAGGAAGGAACATATCAGCCTCTGGGTCAGTCAGCACTACCTAGCCAGGCTGTGATCTTCAGTGGGAACTTCAGTTGATCAGGATAACTTTGGATATTCTGAGAAATTTGAGTCATAATGTAGTTTGAGTTTTAAAATGAGAAAAAGTCTTTCAGAATTTATTTTTTGAAGAGGGAAATGTAGACTGCTAGAATAGCTACTGGAGTCCAAAGAAACAACTCATGACCAGAGGCCACAGCCCAAGAAACAAACAGTGAATGGGAAAGAAGAAGTCCACCAAGGTACCTGTAAAGTTCTGCTAGTATATTGAGCTCTGATGGAAAATTCTTATAATAAGAGGATTTGAGAATCTTGCAGAGCCTTTCTCCACTTCCTCTTGATCTTAAGATTAGATATTTATATTTTGGTAATTCAATTACCTTTATTTCCTTCTCTCCTAAGTTCTTTATAAACATGCTCACTGGTGTCTCTGGTGTATTCACAGAAAACAAGGTGAAAGGATTTGCTTCCCAAATAAATGGGCCAGTTTTTTTTTAAATAAGGGTCAAGGGCACATCCCTGGGACCTAAGATAGAAGGTGGCAGCTTGAATTAGAAAATTCTCGGATTCAAATACTGTGTATTAAACCCTTCTGTGATGGTTAATTTTAGGTGTCAACTTGTGTGCATTAAGGGGTACTCAGAGAGCTGGTAAAACATCATTTTGGGGTGTGTCTGTGACAGTGTTTCCAGAAGACATTACTATTTGAATTGCTAGACTGAGATATGACCTTACCAATGTGGGTGAGCATCATCCAACATGTCGAGGGCCAGGACAGAATCAAAAGGCAGAGGAAGGAAGAATTTGATTTTGATCCTGGAGCTGATACATCCACCTTTTCCTGACCTTCATACATCAGAACTCTAGGTTCTCAGGTCTTCAGACTCCAGAACTTCCACCAGGTTGTCAGGCCTTCAGATTCAGACTCATCCACACCACCAGCTTCTCTGGTTCTCCAGCTTCTAGACAGCGTATTGCTGGACTTCTCAGCCTCCATAGTTACATGCAGCAATTCCCATAGTAACTTCCCCTCCCCACAAACATCTTATTGGATCTGTTTCTCTGGTGGACACTGACTAACATTCCTTTCTTTCTAGAGACTTCTTCTAGCCTTCATTTTTGCTGATTGAAGACTGAGCTCAAGGCAATTGTATCGTAACAATAATGGATGCAACACTACCTTCCACTCCACAATCTCTTCTTACACCACTGTATTGAGAAACACAAGTCCACATCCTTTCTGTTTGAATTAAAGCAGGTATTTGACACCTATAGAAGTGGTGCTATGTGTCTTCCAAGCCTGGGAGATAAGGAGTTACATGTCTTCCACCTGGTTCTATTAGGATACTTGCTTTTAGAACCTAGCCACCAAGTTTTGAGGAAACCCAATCAGCCTGTAGAGAAGCCTGAGTGAGGTTGTGGCACAGGCCTTCCCTGATGATCCTGGCTAACAGCCATGTGAGGGAGCCATCTTGAAAGTAGAACTTCCATGTTTCAGTGGATCTGATTCCACATGGAGTAAATTGTGCCTATCCAACCCTGCCCACATTGAAGACTCATGAGCAAATAAGTGACTCTTGCTGTTTTAAACCACCACATCACTTCGTGATGGGTTTTCATATGGAAAGATAATGATGTAGTTCCCTAATTGCATAAACACTAAACATGCTCTTTTGTGCCCATTTTGAGTAAATTCTTTCCCTTCTTTACAAGCAACTGTCCCAGAAACCGCCTTTACCCTAGATTCTACAAAGAGGTTTGCAGCCACTGAGGAGGGTAAGAAGTAGCAGGTGAGCAAAACGGCTGTTTTTGATTTGCACTTGCTCAGTAGGTATGAATGGGGAATGAGGTGAATCTTCTTACCTAGACATGAAGCTCCCATCACCCACCTTTCTTGCTTGTCCTCTGAAGGTTTATGTGCAAGTGTGGGTGGGTGGCTAGGTATGGTTTTTCATGGGATAACTGATAAGATTAGCATTCTGTATTTCCAAAAACGTATGCACTTCTGTGAGGTTAAGAGAAGATGATAGGGCAGGGTACTGGTGTCTCATGCCTATAATCCTAGCTACTTAGAGGCTGAGATCCTGAGGGATTTTAGTTTGAGGCCACTCTAGGCAAATAGTTTGTGAGACACCATCTCCAAAATAGCCAGAACAAAATAGACTGTGGGTGTGGCTCAAGTGGTAGAGTGCCTGCTTTGCAATCGTGAAGCCCTGAGTTCAAACCCCAGTCCCACTGAGAGAGAGAGAGAGAGATGACAGACATTCCCATACCTGAGATGAATAGCATTCTTAGATGCATCACTGCATTTTATTAGGCACATCCATGACTAACCAGGTAAAACTAGGAGCTGCTCATGGCTCATGCTGCTCCCTCATGTACCTTTTGGACAACTGGGTCCATGCTCCCCTTGAATACTCAAAAGGATGTCCATGCCAGAGGGGCTGCCATCCTTCCTGGGTCCAAAGCTCAGTCATATATCAAGAGGAAAAGATTTGATTGGTCTCATTTCTCATTGCCAGTTCTTACAGCATGTCTCTCTTGAGCTGATATGAAATGAACTGACATATGTTTGATGATAATGGTGATGATGCTAAATTTTCTTTTTTTGTCTTTTTTCTTCCCTTTCCTCTCTGCCTTCACCCCCCTGTTCTACTCCACTTCCAGTACACTTATCCAAAAGAAATTAATTTTCCACTTTAGATTGTTCCTTTGAACCCTTTCCTAAGTCTATGCTCTTAAACTCTATGTGTTTTTTCCTTCTAATCTGACAGACAGCTTTAATTTTCTAGCAGAAACTACTACCTTCATTAGGACAAAGTAGGCGACCAAGAAAATATGACTGAGATGGATGGGCAAGGTGACTCCAGCTTTTTCCTCAGTCTGCTGGCCACTTGAAGAAAGTTCTCCTGCCCTAGGGAACACAGCATTTCTCTCTCTTCCAGGTTTAGCTGCTTAGAGATTTTGAAAGGGCAGCATCCTATTAGCACCAGGTGTATTAGTGAGCTTTTTGCTACCATAATGAAATATCTGAGGGAACTAATCCTGTAAGAAAAAAAGGCTTATTTGGGTCACAGTTCTAGAGGTTTGAGAGTATAGTGCCTGCATTGGGTCAGTGCTGGTGAGGACCCATGGTGAACAGCAGCTGACAGATAGCAATGGTGGGCATGTGTGCCAGGGCAAGTGGTTACATCTCAAACCAGAAATCAGAGAAAGAGAGAGAGAGGAAGGGGCCAGGCTTGCTCCTTTTATAACAAACATCTTGTGAGAACTACCAAGGAGACCCATGAGAAATTCCTTCTGAGAGTATGTCCCCAATGACCCAAAGACCTCCCAATTGGACTTAACTTCTTAAAGATCCTACCATTTCCCAATACTGTCACCTTAGGGATCAAGCCTCCAATCCCATGAACCTTTAGGAGGACACAATTAAAACTATATCCAAGGCATATGACCAGTCCTGCAAATGAATTCCAGTAGGCTTTACAGACCTAGGACCCTGTGTATGTGAATGTGTATGAATATGCATGTATGTGTGAGTGTGTGTATGAGGTAGAGTTTTTAGTCTGGGACATGCTGCCTGGGAGTTAGTACACCAATGCTTATAGCTTGCTACTCACTTCATAGCCCCAACAAAGGCATCTTGGCCAAGAGAGAGAACCTAAAGCAATGGCTTGGGGAGAGATGTCCCCAGAGCAGTGTATCTTGAGTGTGTTTGCATGAGTGGAGTGGGTGGCAAGTAGGAGATTATTTAAGAGTTCTAGCTCTCCAGATTATATTCAGTCACTGAAAGTTTACCAGTGTATTTGCGACTCTGCTGAGAGGTCCCAGCTTTCTACCTCCTGACTGGCAGCCAATAAGGTTCACCTGTAGGTTTCAGGGAAGACTGTTCCTCCATCACTCAAGACCACTTTCTATGCAAGATGCACGTTTGTGTTTGTGTGTGTGCACAGGCACACATGTAGGCCTTCCCAGAAGCAGGTCTCCTTGTTATTTTGGGAGCCAGGGCTTTGTGGCTAATGAGTGCTTTGGGAGGATGAAATTCCTGAGCTCTCCTTCGCTGCCCCTTTGTCTTCCTTTCTTGGCCAGCTACTCATCCCAGTGAGCTATGTGGCTTTCACCATGGCTTTCACTCCTTGAAAGAACAAACATCTTCACTGCAGCCTGAGAATGCTGGTGTGAGGTGATTGTTTGTAGATGTTTCCATGACACTCATTTATTCCTTTTGCAAATACAACTATATTGGGGGAGGGGATGAGGAGAGGTTAGAGTAGGGAGACTGGGCAGTAGGAAGACCTTGTGATTTCCTTATCTAGCTTCCTCTGCAGGAATAAGAAACCCTTCTTTTCCTTTCCCAGGGTTTCCTCCATCCCAAACCCCTAAATTGCTCCCTCCCAAAATCCATCTTGGCTTCATGCTGCTGAGATGGAACTAGGCTCCTAGTGAGGCGTGGCAGGGAGGAATTATGTGCAGGAGGAAGCAGCATTAATTTAGGAGAACGGGGTAAAACTTTCATTCCTCAGATTTGGGATTTAGTAATGATGAGCAGCGATGACCGACACTGGGGGTGGCAGTGTGTGCCTACATGTGTTCCAGAGGGGTCTGTGACACACCCCAGCTGAACCAGTGATTCATTCCAAAGCTTAGAGACTTTTAGAGGTCATTTTAGTCATCCCCTTGCCCTCAGGCTGGAAGGAGCCTAACTTAATGTCACGTTTGGTGGAGGTGGTGTGTTGCTCTGTGTGTGCAAAGGAGTGGGGGTGGGGAGGCAGCGCGTGACCTCTTTGAAAAGATCTCCACCAAAGGACGTTCCCTAGCTTTCCCAGGCTGCACGCTCCTGGGCTTCCCCATCACTGAATCAGCTTGGTCCTCCCGGGAACTGTTTTTTGCTGGATGGAAACCGGATGTTGGGTTTCCTGGGTGGGCGGGGGCCTCCATCCCCTCAGACCGGTCAGGGGTAATTGAGACTCCTAGGGTCCTGATAGTCAGCCCAAGAAAGCTGTCATTTATTTCATCAGAAACTTGCCATGCAGTCTGAGCAGAGAACAGAACAGAGCAAAGACGCTACAACGCCTTGTCCCAGGCAATGCGCATGATTCTGCGGCTCTAAGCTCGCCACACTTCAACGCACCTTGAAATGGGCTCGCCTCCTTCGCGCCGCGATGGGCGGACGGTTGAGCCAATCAGCTTCCAGACTTGTAGGCAGTGTCCAATAGGCAGACGGCAGAGGCGGGCCCGGAGGCCCGGCCCGGCTAGGCTTCACCATGAACCTGGCTGCGCTCTGCCTCCGTTAGTAGTGCAGGTGCCGCTGCGCCGGGGCCGGGGAGGCTGCGCGCAGAGCCAAGCGGAGCCAGGGAGGGATGGAGAGCGGACGGCCAGAGCTGCAGGAGCACCGGCGCGGGGCGTAGGCGGGCGAGAGGCGGGCGCTCGAGCACGAGAAGTGTGCGGGCGCAGGAGCACTTTGCGATAGGATGAGGCTCTTGGCTGGCGCGCGGTAGTACTATGATTTGGTATGTGGCCACTTTGATAGCAAGTGTGATCAGCACCCGAGGTCTTGCGGCTCAAGGTGAGTTGAAGTGCAGCGTCCCTTCTCCGCCGCTCCCGGCGCTCTCAGCCCTTGGCTCCTCGGCTCTGGCTCTCCGGCTCCGCGAAGCGCCGCTCCTATCCGCGGGCGAGGCTCGGGGTTGGGTCAGACGCGCCTCCGGGGACTGCCGGGGAGGGCCCGGGGGCCGAGGGTCAGAGGAGCTGACCAGGAAGGGGCCGGAGCTCACTGGCTACCGGGCACTCGAAGAAAGAACGCTTCAAATCGAGGTCGACTTCGTCCACCTTGGGCCCCTTAGATAGCAAGCACGTCGAGCCCTTCGCCTCCTGCTCTAGCGTTGGGGGAACCCGTGGCGGTCCTAACTCTGGCTGCTGGGGAGTTTACGGGTCTTTGGATAGGTTGCAGCACGCCCCAGCCCCGCGCAGCACCACCGCTCCGCGGAGAGCCCTTGCAGGGAGGCGCGACCTAGAGCCTTGGGACAATCCGCTTCCACCCTTTAAGGGACAGGGTTCTCGGCCCTAGGGGAGCCCAGCGCTCCGGCTCGCTTCCCTCCTGCCCACATGTCTTGACAGCTGGAGGTGGAACCCCCTCGCAGGTGAGAGGAGAATTGATGCAGCCAGTACCGAGGAGTGTCTGCTTTGGCTGGCCCTGGCAGTCGCGCGCGCCCATCTTAGCCGCACCTGGGCCCGAGCCTGGCAAAAGTTCCCCGGGAGCGCGCCGAACCCGTGCCAACCCCACGTCGCCCTCCACCGCGGCTAGGCAGAGCTTCCTGGGGGCTAGGGCGCCGGGGGAGGGGTCCCCATTGCTGCGTCTCGTAGCTCTCTCTGGTCTGAGCCCGAGAAGAGACCAGAGGGAAGCGAGCGCGTTGGGTGACGCGTGCGTGAGCGCGCGGGCTTTTGCTTTGGAGACCGGCAGCAGAGCGACCGGCAAGCCTCTGTATGGCACCCCGGCTCTCAGCCCTTGTATGGAAGTAGGAGAGGAGTCGGAGGCTGCCAGGACTCTGAGCTCACGGTTCTCAGCGCACAGACGCGACCCGGCTGGGGCAAGTTCACAAAGCCTGGAGGAGATGGCGGCGGGAGAGACCCCGTCCGTGGGTGGAAGTCGGCAGGGAGGACCCGCCAACCAGAACACCCACTCCCAGCAGGCGTCTTGTGTAGGGTCTTCCCGTCACCTTGCCTGGGAGGCGGGTGGGAGGAGTGGTCTCAGAAAGTTTCAGGAATGGAATATCTCTCCTATGCTCCTTGGAAGGGGCGTCTGAAAGCAGAAGAGCAGAGGGCGAAGGGAAGGTGGTTTTTGTCAAGTGATAAGAGTGTCTGGATGGTTTTAAAACTCCTCATTTGTCATGTGGAAAAATAGGCAGAGGTGACCGCAGAAGCTTGTGGGAAGAGGGTGGATGTGAGGTATGGCTGCACCTCACCCTCATCCTTTCCCCTGTCTCCTAGCAGTCTTCCAATGCCCACATCCTCCTCCCCTCCAGGTTTTGGTATGCTCCTGCTATGGGACTGTGCCTAAAGCACAAAAGGATGTGCTGGAAGCTTTGAATAGAAGAGGCATTAAGGAAGGTCTGAATGGTCTCCAAACCTAAGCCAGGGTGGGGGAATAGACTTTTGTTTTTCAAGTTTAAGCACAGAGTAAAGGCAAAATGGGCTTATATTACAGCAACACTCAGAATGGCAAGACAGAAGAAGGAACTTACCAACACTGAAGGTTGTTGGGCATGAAGGTTATGCCTTTCATGGTGCAGAAAGGTCCTTCTGTCTGGAATGACTTGACATGCACTCCTGCCTGGGAGCAAGCATGACCTTATTGGTCTTGGTGTCTTGTTAACCTAAAGTGGCTTCATCTATGGTGGTCACAGATGATGGTTCAGAGTTAAATCACCTGAATTTAAATCTTTGCTTGCTGACCCTGTGACCTTGGACAAATTACTTAACCTTTCCAAATGCCATTGCTTCCACGGAAGAATGGGTTAGTAGTATGAATTTTAGGGTTTTTCTCCCCCTTTGGGGGTGTGTGCACAGTAGTGCTATGAAGAAATGAGTAGATACCTGTTTACATTAGTATGTGTTCAGTAAATGTTAACATGGTTATTGCTTCACTATCTTAGTGGTTTCAGGCTCCCCCTCAATTTCTTTCCCTTGGACCATTCAGGGCATCAGGAGCTTGTGTGTTGGGGGAATGTTCAGAGGGCTGCCTCCATCAGTATGTGAGACCCCTTTGTGGGCTGACCTTGTCTGGGCAGAATCTCTTGTTCCCCTCCATGCCAGTGAATGTGTGCCAGGCATGCATGCCCCAAACTGCTTGGAAGTGTTGATGGTGGCCAGAGCTTGTGGAAGGACACAGAACACAACCTTTGGACCCCTGTGAGAAGCCAGTGTTGGAGTGTTGGCAAGGCTCCTCAGGAAAGCCCAGCTATTCTCTGAGTGGCAGAAGTGGCTTCTGGGAAGATCCCAGAATTAGAGGGACTTTGAGATGCCATTCCCAGGATTGACTGAAGCACTGGCTGCTCTGGCAGAGGGGTGAAAAGGGACAGCTGTGTTGCATGGAAAGTCTGTCAACTTGTTGGACCAAAGTGGGGATAGACTCCACCTTTTGACTCTGATCATGTGTTTGGGAGGTGACTGAGGTCATTAGACAGGTTGTGAAGGTGAGGAGAAGAGAGGTGTGGTCTCGGTGTCCCAGACATCTGCCCAGCAAGCTGAGGGAGTTTCCACACTGTGGGGAGGACCCTGGCCCATGCTTGACTGAATCTGAACCTCCCATAAGGGAGGGAAGTCTGGTCCTTATTCCCAAGGCTACCTCTCCTGTCTGCTACAGAATCCCTGGTTGCATTATCTCTGGCTCCAGTGTCCCCAAATAAAATGGGGACTGACTCAGGTTCTGATGGTTGAATCAGTGCCCTCTACTCTACCTACCTGGCCTTGACTCACCCTTTTTCCTTTTGGCAATGGAGATAGGAGGGAAGAGGTTTAAACTCTGTGGGCTGGAAAGGACTTGGCTCAGTGGGTATGTGCTCAGCACATATGCTAGGGGCAGGGGTGTGTCTGGCAGCAGATACCCTGCGAGAAGCAGGAGGGCACATGTCAGATAGGGCATGGTTGAGGGACAGTGAGAAGAATCAGCTTGCATTTGCTGGCCTGTGGTCTGACATATGCCTCTCTGGAGTTGTCAGGTCCCAGGTCCTGGGTGGTTTCATGTTTATGGCTCATACAGAAACCTGGGATCTGATAGGAGGTTTCCTTGCTGGAGATGCTGAAACCCAGCTTCTCTTGACCCCTCCCCCCATTCGTTGCTCTCTCCTGGTGCCTGTATTTCTGCCCTCTCTCCAGTCAGGGTGCTGGCTAGCTCTCAGAGCCTGGCCCACCCTTTGCCTTCTCCCTTGGCTCTTTCTCTCTCAACTCTGTACCTGCACATAGGCAACTCAGAACGCTCTAAAATTGGAGGCTACAGTTTAGAGTCTGGGTTGATGGATACCTGAGGTTCTGGAGAGAAACGCTAAGCAGAGGACAGAGGCTGAGCTTGTGGAGAAGCTGACACTTGCCTGTTTTGTTAAGAGGAGTCCGTGGCATCTGGAACCATCAGCTCGGAATATTCTAGGGTAGAGAGAGGCTGGGTACCTGGGGTGATGGGAGAGGCCTCTGAGGTTGGTGAGGCAGCTTATTGTCACCCCCCCACCTCCATACCCCAGGGGTACTGCCCATGGGTATGGGCCAGGGTGTGGGCCAGTCTGCTGGAGGCAGCTGACCTATTTTTCTTAGGAATCTTCCTGCTTTTCTGTTCTCTCTTGCTCGAATAAGGGAGAGAGTGTAAGCAGAGATGGGGCCTCCGCAAGGGTTTTGGAGAAAGAGCCCACGGTGGCCAGGTTGTGAGGGAGCTCTCAGGCAGCCTGACTACTTTTCTGACAAGAGGAGGACTGACAGACCTGCCTTCTGCCTCCCCTTGTGGCCCCGTATGTAACGTCCCTCTTGGTTACATATGCCCACTGAGATGGGGCTGTGGCATACAATTTGCACACAGGCACAAATTGTACGAGATGAGTCATTGTCCTCGTTCTCTGGTTTCGGAGTAGGAAATGTTGACGTTCTTGCCAGAGTAAATATGGAACTTTGATCTCCCACTTAGTTATGGAGCCTGTCTGGCCCCTTACCCTCATGGCAGGCCCAGTCTGCAGTGCCCTCACTTGGCTAAACTCCCTGCTTGCCTGCCAGCCTGCCTACCAGCTTTGGGACATGCCAGGTGGAGGGGCTGAGTTTGTGAGTGGGTGGGTGGGGGTGTGGCTTTGTTTTTCTGCTGAGAAGCCATTAAAGGAGCAGAAATGAGATTGAATTACAGACTTCCTTCCTGCCAATGGCTCTTGGGGAAAGGCTCTTGGAAATACAATCTAACCGAGCAAATTAAGGTTGCTAATAGCATCAGTTCCTTACAGCTGCTGGGGCGAACCTAGCCAGAAGGGTTAGGGAAGAGAGGCACCCACAGAGAGAAGCGGCCTACAATTGCTGCTCTCTCCCTCTCAGTGCCTTGCTGTTCTCCAGGTTTTCTGGCCAGGCCCACTCTGGGCTTACCTGGCCTCTAACCCAGACTCTGCAGGCTTGTTGGGGAGGGGTGCTAAAGGGCACTGACGATACTTATGGGGAAGCCCCCTTAGGGATGACTTCTCTAGGATGTGTGTGTGTGCTTCTTTTTAGGCAGAGGGTGGGATATCCAGGATGGCCTGTTGCCTACTCCCCCTTGTGAGGAGGAAAACAGGATACCCTTCGTGTCCTGGGCACAGCTCCCCTCTCAATGTCAGATTTTCTGGATGTTCCTCACTTGGATCTGGGCAATTGGGAGCTATCCATCTTCTGGGTGTGTGCCTCCCACTTGGTGAGAACCCTGAGTGTGCCGGCTTCCTGGAATCTCCTGGAGCCTCCTGGCTTGTCAAGGAGGAGGGATTGGGGGACTATTGGGGGCTGTGTCTTTTTTGGACTCAGCAGGGATTATTTTTAGGCTGGCAGATGGAGGTGGCGGTGGCTGTCGCTGGTATTATTAGACAGCAGCCCTGTGGTTTGAGAGTCTAGTGCCCAGAGGAGGAGGAGGAAGAGGAGGAGGCTGCAACAAGGACTTGTACTAATGAGCCACAAGGCTGCCCAGATCCTCCCTTCCCTCAGCTTCCACCAGACCCAGGTAGAGGATTCCAAGGTCTCAGGCAGAGTGACATTCACTCCAGAGTGGCCAGAGATGGGCCATCTGCCTTCTGATACAGACCCACCGTGCATAATCCTTCTCTGGTCCTGGATTGCAGGGACTGCACTCTCAGAACCTATCCAGAGTGTGGGGTGGGAGCAGCTGAGCTCTGACTTGGTGCTGTAAGGAAAGGGAAGGTACAGGGAAGAGGCCTTGGTCCTCTGGGGCTGTGGTGGGGACAGAAGGATGGGCTAGGGTGGGAGCCCTATCCTGCTACCTATTACTTGGGTAACTTTGGGGGAGCCACACAGCTTGCCCATTTGATCATTTGCAAAATGGAGACAGCAGTAGTTGTGTCAGGGGTCATTGTAGGCATCAGGTGTCACACTCCTAACACAGAGCCTAGTGTGGAGTACAGCTGTGCTGTATGTTCTGTTTGCTCCTAGCGCAGGCTTTCTTCTCCTAGCTCCTGTCTCTTCCCCTGCTGATTAGAGAGTTTCCCGTTCTCAGGACCTTTTTTCCTCTAGCCCTTCCCTGGCAGACAAGCTCCAGGTTGTGAGTACTGGATGTGGGGCCATGCCAGGCCCTGGACCCCTTACGGTTCTGTACCCACGGGGTGTCTGCTGGCAGCTCTGAATTCAGCCGCCCACTGGGTATCTCCTGGCTTAGAGAGCAGGAGATTTGTATCCTATGGGCTTCCCAAAAGGTCAGCCAGCCCTCAGGGGGCCACTTATCCTCCCTCCCACTTTCTCTTCCAAGCCAGGGTGGCACTGCTTCAGAGTAGGCTGGGAAGACCCTCAAGATGCAGATTTGCTAGGCTTAGGGTGCGTTATTTCCTACTTCCCAAAAAGGACCAGCACCTCAGCGTCTCCTTCCTACTGTGCCTACCTGCCGCCAAGGCCAGTTCCTGACCCCAGGGAGAAGCCTGGCCATCTGGGTTGCTATGAAGAGGGAGGGAGGTCTGAGGGTCTCCCCTGTGGCTCTTCTTCTTCCCCTCCTTTCCGGTTCCAGTGTCGTGCTGTTGCTGCCCAGAGCTATCATTACCAGTCAGGCTGGGCATGTGTCCGGCCTGCTTGAGGCCCATCTGTGCCTCTCTCCTTCTTTGCTTCTGAATTGCTTTCACTATGGGATTTGGGCTTGGTTCCCCTGTGTTTGAGTTTATCTGTTTCTCCTCTCTCAGGCCCCTCTTCTTTCTTTATTGCCAGCCTGAGTACTTTTTCTTTTTTTCTCACTGAGCTTTTCTGGAGAGAGTGTTTATTAGACATACTTTGGCTCAGAAAGGATCAGGCTTAGGGAAAAGTGCTGTGGGTGATGGAATGAGGGAACACACCCTGTGTGTGTGTGTGTGTGTGTGTGTGTGTGTGTGTGTAGGAGATGAGGAAGAATGGATGAATATTCCAGCATCTAGCAAGCCAGGAGGGCTTGGGCTGAAAGTGGGGGCTGGGCATGGCTTCTTCCTCTGGCTCCTTTTGGAGGCACCTGGTTCATTTTGTCATTTTTGGGATGTGCCTGCTCTGCAGCTGAAGGGGTCTCAAGAAGAGATGCTGAGTGGGTGAGGGCCTGCTCTGTTGCCTTGGAGTGGGCTTCAAGAGGGGGCTTAGTGTTCAATCCAGCGGCTGGCTGGGGCTGGGGGTGGAAACCTGGAGTCTTCTCTAGTGCTGGGGAAGGAAGGTGTGAAAGAGCTGCCTCATTGTCATGCAGTGAGAATGAGGCAGCACTAGGTGCAAATGAGCAGCTGGCACTGTGGGAACCCATGTCAAACCTCCTGGCATTACCCCCCCAGAGCTATGGACCCCAGCAGCCAGCTCTCCAGAGCAGAAGTTCACTGTCAGAGGTACTTATCTGTTCCCTTAGGCTCTCTTCCTTCTGCCTAGTCTCTAGGGCCAAAGGAGTGACCTCGTGGCCCACTCCGCCCTCCCCCCAGGTAACCTGGTCCTTGGGAATAATTCCCCTCTCCTCCATACCCCTGTAGTTTGTTTCCTCATTATCTCACAGGTGTGTGTGGCAAACAGTTATTGCTTGTATGTGCATGCATACATGTGTACACATACACACGTGTATACACACACGCACACACACATACACACACACACTCTGCTTTTCTTGCTGGCTCATGGCACCTGCTGTCTACCCATTGCTCTTGGCCTTTGTGCTCTGGGATGAGGCAGGGCGGGCAGGCTCCTTGCCTAGCCCAGGTGCCCCTGGGGTTGTGGGGGAGGTGCCTGCTGCAGCTGGGTCCTCTCTGCTTTTCCTCTAGGGGCTGGGCTGCAAATTTAGCCTGAAGGCAGGCTGGGGGAGGGAAGAGTTGGGAAACCTGCTGGGGCCTCTGGCAGGTGAGTGCAACTCTGCTTGCTCCAAAAATACTCTGTGATCTTAGCTCTTTCTCTAGAAAACAGTGATGTCACTGGGAGCCAATCAGCTTTTGGGAGGGCTTGCCTCCTCCTCCTCCTCCTTCCGCTAGTTGAAGGGGAGGGGGAGAGGGAGGAGGAGGAGACACAGACACAGAGAAGACATAGACTGACAAGATTCACAGACAAGAAGCACACATGCACATAGCCCCTTCACACAGAAGGAGGCAAAACCCCTTCCCCTTTCACCAGCCATCAGAAATCCATAGGCCCCCATTCCCCAACACACACACACACACAGAAGCTGATTGGAACAGGGAGAGAGGAAGGCAGGTAGAAAGAATCATCCACATACAGTGGGAGTAGGAGCAGGAGACAGAGACAGATGTAAGGAAGGAGCAAGAGAGAGACAGACTCACCCAGAGCAGAGGCCAGAGAAACACAGAGAGACATGAGACAGAGCAGGAGGCAGACAGACATATCTGCCCATCCCCCCTTCTCACCCTTCTCCCCAGGTGCCAGAGAGAGACAGAGACAGAAGGAGAGGGGGATAGAGAAACAGAGAGAGACAGACAGAGATAAGTCCTTCTCAGGAGAGAATATACACACACACACACATACACACACATACACAGAGTCAGACACAGACCTGAAGGACAGAAAGAGGTGGGAGCACATGGAGTCAGGATGCAGAAAGAACCAAACCCGGGCCGACCACAGAGAGACTGCCCTCCTCCAGGCATCCTCTCTTGGTGGGAGGGCCCAGCAGGCTCCTGGCTTTGAGCCTGCAGGCAGCGGCTGCTGTCCTAGGTGCTGCCATGAAGAGTCAAGATGCTTAGGCTGGGTGGCAGGGAAAGTGTGTGATCAGGTGTGGGAATGGTAGTCCAGGGGAGGCAAGAACAGCCCCTCAGCCATCCTTTTCACTGGAAGTACTGGACAAAGTGACCTTGCCATCTCCCTCACCCTGCCTGGTGTGCGTGTGTATGGGGGAGCTGGGGGTGGGGGAAAACTGGTATGGGAGGAGTGTCAGCTGAAGATAGGCTGCAGGCCCAGTTTGGGGCCCTGGAGCCAATGCTCTGGGTGGGCTACACCTCTGTGGATCAGCTCTTCTGGGTCCTCCAGCTTGCAGGTTGGGTAGGGTGGGGCCCTCTCCTGCCTGTCTCTTTCCTTACCCCTTCCCTGCTAGCCAAGATGGGTATTCCTTATCCATCTGTCTGGTTTTGATGTCCTTTGTGCCTCAGGATTCCCCTTCTGCGTCCCCAGCATCCTGCTTTCCTAGCAGTGATGTCTGATAGACTTGGAAATGGGGGGGGCTGCATCGCCTCCATAGCCCTCTGCAGCAGGGCTGGCGCAGCAGGGTGGGAGGAGGGGCTGGAGAGGCCTGCTCAGGCTGGTGGGGTTTTCCCTCTGGTGTTGCCAGGAGCAGCCTGCTTAGCTTGTTAGGGATTCCCAGCTCCTCTGGTGTGGAGCACTCTTGTTTAGCACTGGAACATCAGGCTGAGCTGGGGGTGGGGCGGTGAGGACGGCTGGCTCTGTCATCTCGTATTAGGCTCCAGTGGGGAGCAGCTTGTTTCAGGAAGAATGCTTGAAGGTGGTTGTAGCTGGGCAGAGCCTCCAGGACTGAGGCCCCTTCACCTCCATGTCTGTGGCTCCTTGTGATTCCCATTTGGGGGGGGTGTTACTTGAGGAGGACAGGGCATGATTTATGCCTGCTGCTCTTTGGGACTAGGAAAGTTAGTTCTTATTTGTAGGACTAAAGAAAACTGCTTTTCTCTCCTTTCTTCCCCTCCTCCCCAGGTTTATGGATCCTTGAGGTCCCCAGGGCAGAGAAAGAGGAGTGAGCCAGAGATGGAGAGGGTGTGGAGTACTCTGAGGGAGGGAGGGAGGGAGGGAGTGGGCGTAGGAGTTGGAGGTGGCCTTTGACATCAGCATGAGACTGCTGAGACAAGATCTCTGTCTCCTTTCCATATCTTACCTTGGCTGTCCCTGTTAGGTGCCCACGGCCTGCGAGAGGAGCCCGAGTTTGTGACTGCACGAGCTGGTGAGGCTGTTGTTCTGCGATGCGACGTGATCCACCCAGTGACGGGACAGCCTCCACCCTATGTCGTAGAGTGGTTCAAGTTTGGGGTCCCCATCCCTATCTTCATCAAGTTTGGCTACTATCCCCCCCATGTGGACCCTGAGTATGCAGGTAAGGTCTGGGTGCTGACAGTTGTCCCCTCTTTGTCTCCTTCTAGATTTTGTCCTTGCTGTTCCTTCCAGGTCTCAGTGGCTGCCTGTGAGGTCCCTGGTCCCTCTGCCTTTATCTCTTATCAGTTCTGATCTGTATCCTGACTGGTCCATTGTCTCTGTTTTTCATAGCTCTGCCTCTTTCATCCTAACTTTGCACTCCAGTAGGTTTTCATTAAGTGGCAGGAGGAGAGGGAATAAGGAACTCTTCTAAGCTACACAGTCTGGGGATGTGGCTAGGAGCCAGAAGTCCCAGACCAAGCTAGAGAGAGAGGACCTGTTGGAGGAAACAAGGCCCCGCTATCCATGGAAGAAGGGGTCAGATCCGCCCTTGGCCAGGTGCGGGAAAGCTGAGGCTGCAGTGTCTTCTGTTTGAGTGCACCCACTCCCTTCCTCCTGGCTCTGAACTTGGGTTGTGCTCCCATCCCCATTCTAGATTTTAGTACTGTGCTCTTCCCACCCACTGTCTGTGCCCCTAGCAGGTGACTGATCTTTACCTCTTCTGCCACCCATCCTCCCCTTCTCCTGGCCCTGTTTGTGTATTGCTCTGCAGTTACTCTGCCAGCAGTGGCCTCTCTGCCACTCCCTGCCAGACTGCCAAGGAGGAGGGCTTGGGGTGTGTGTGTGTGTGTGTGTGTGTGTGTGCGCGCGTGCACACATGCTCTAGGATTGAAAGGGAAGGAGGGAGTTTACAGGACATTGCTTTTATGTTTGTCTTTCCTGTGGCTTCCAAGGTATGAATTGCCTTTCATTGAGAATGCTTCTATCCTTGTCTTTCTCCTGAGCCTATATCTCTCACTCTTCTTTTTGCCCAGGGTTGGTTTTGATAGTCTGATTTTTAGGCAGATTGCCAGAGTCAAGATGATGAGGAAAGCAGAGGAGGTAGTGGTCTTGACTTGGGATTAAGGAAGACTGGAACTGAGGGTGAGAAGGAGGTAACCCTGATGACTGCTGTGTCCCACTGGCATGCAAGAAGTGGCTCCCTTCTCAGTGCTCAGTGACACAGAGATGGCCTCCTGGTGAAGTTAAGAAAGAGTGGGTCTTTGCCTGTTAATCAACCCTTGCCACAGTCTTGTGTTTTTTTTTCAATTTTTTTTTTTGAGACAGAGTCCCACTATATGTAGCCCAAACTTATATCAAACTCTAAATCCTCCTGCTTCAGCCTCCTGAGTGCTGAGATTACATGTGTTCACCACTACACCCAGCTGTATTCTTGGGTTATAGGTCCCACTGTCCTCAGCTCCTGGAGTCCCTGTGCTTTGGCAGGATATGTAGTCACTCAGGTGCTGGCAGCAGGACTGGAGGGACCCTAGCATCTGCTCGCCAGCCTGCCTTCCCTCTGCCCTAGCTTAGGAAAACCAGGTAGAGAAGGAAACAGGTGAGGTGGTCCTGGACACCCACCTGAGATAGGCATAGTGCTCAGCTTGAATGGAAATGCTCTGAGTCTTGCTGGGCACTCCCAGCTGATTCTTTTCTTGTGTGCTTTCTCATTTTTTCTCAGCTCTATATCCATCATGCTTTCCTTTTGTCCCAAGAAATCTCCAAAAGAACGGATTCTAAATTGCTGAGGCTTTTCTCAGTGCCATATGCAGGGAGCTGCGAGCTGGGGCAGGGCTGGCTGGGGAGGGATAGTGGCTCTATGATCAAGAAGGTATCATGCCTTTCCCTTTGCAACTTGCTGCTGGTGGTGGATGCTGATTGTCACTTCCTGCCACAGGAAGTGGTCTGAAGGTGGCTGGGGGTGGTAGCTGCTGACCTTACCCTGATGACCTACTGGGCTTTTGTCTACTCTGTTCCCAGGCCGGGCCAGCCTTCATGATAAAGCATCTCTGCGGCTGGAGCAGTTGCGCTCCGAAGACCAGGGCTGGTACGAGTGCAAAGTGCTCATGCTGGACCAACAGTATGACACCTTTCACAACGGCAGCTGGGTTCACCTCACCATCAATGGTGTGTATGGGTCCTCTTCCCGGGAGCTGCCTAGGAAGACCATCTCAGGGACTGCTCTGGAGGAAGCCCCTCTCCTGACTACATTGGCCCTTCCCTAGCCCTTGCTGCAAAGAGGAACCTTTGCCCCATGAGATCTCAGCTCATTCCTCCTGTGCCCTCCTGTGTCTTCCTATGTAGCATGGAGGGGTGCCTAGGAGCAGCAGCTCCCTGTGTGCAAAGTGGTGTCAGAACTTCTCCTAGGGAGGCGGGAATCCACTTCTGGGAACTAGGATGGTTAAGGCTTTGTGGGGGCAAAACTGGTCACTACTGTTTCACTTTCCAGGCTTGAATGACCCTGAGAGCTCAGGAAGGGCATTCCCCTCTCCAGTGGAACTCCTAGAGCCTTAGCATTCATCTTTTTAGGTTGCTATTTTGGTTTCTTGTTAAACACATTTATCTGAGTAGTAAGTATTGAGGATCTGTTATGTGCCCAGCTCTGCACCAGATGGTGGGTAAACAATAGAGAGCAAACCCAGACATGGTCTCTGCTCATTCAGGATTTACCAGCTAATAAATATGAGAATCCTGGGAAGAGGAACCGTTTTAATGGCTGTCAGTTATTTATAGCTCAGGTTAAATGGACTGTGCTGTGTACAGATGCTTTTTAAGTGTCTGAGTGGGGCAGAGAAGCATAGGTGAGCTTGCTGAGTTCCTGCTTTTGGCCTAGGCTAGGGTCCTGAGTCTTCATGGTCTCCATGGAGGGAGAGCCTCCCCTTTGTGTCCCAGGGAGTCCTTACCTGAGAGGAGGTGCTTCAGAGGAACCAGGAGGCTGTCATCATGGAGAAAAAATGGAGGAAAAGCAGTTCCTACAGTGGGGAAGGGGTGTGGTGGTTTGTTTTATTTCCTACTTTTGACTTGATGATTATTCTTCTTTATTCAGTTGATGACAGAAATGTATCCCGCCACCAGTGTGTCTTGTAAACACTATGCTAGTCACTAAGGCTTTGACAGTGTCCCTGTCGGTTGTGCCGTATCCATGGAGGTCCTGAAACTAGATGCTGTGGTCAGAAGAGAGGAATTGATGTTCCTGGCCTGGAAGCTTCTCTCGGTACAGATCTGCCTTGAAGGATAGCTCTGTCTGCCCTACGTAGTGGGGTCAGGTCAGACCTATGCTCCTGGGTCTGGGAACTGCTCAGAATCTTGGAAAAACAGAACAGTTTTTAATTTTTTCAATTTAAAAGGTTCTTTTTTTTTTTTTTTGGTGTTGCTGGGGATCAAATCCAGTTCCTTGTACATGTCAGACCAGTGTTGTTCTACTGAGTTAAACCCCTAGCCTCAGAATACAGGGTTTTAGCAAGAGCATTGGCTTGTTGAACAGAAACCTTTAAGATGGTCAGAGTTGGCTCAGGCATTAGGTGCTGTAATCCAGGCCCACAAACCTGATTGGAGATGAATTTTAAATCTTGGATTGTTTGTCACCACCACCTTTTGAGTCACCTGCTTTTTATGCTAGCTATTGTGTGTGTAGGGAGTGAAAAGCCCTCTTAATGTTAGCCCAAGCAAGACAGAATTAGGAAGGTAAATTTGCAGCTCAGGCCTTTGCTGATTGAACTCTAAGCCAAGGAACTGTTCCAAGGTGCAGCCTTCTGTCTTTCACATCCTTCTGGTTGGTAGTGTCCATTCCGGGAACAACTCATGTGACAGAAAAGTAGAGTTTATTTTGGCATCCTATGTTCTATTGAATGTCTGCTTTCATTTGCATGAGTGGGAGTTGATTCCTTAGTAATTTCTAATTGTTTAGAGTGGAGTGAATGTGCACCAAGACCCTTAAAAGATTTGGTTTATTTACTGTACATCCTAAGCAAGTTAAATCACCTCTCAGAGCTTTAGTTTCCTCAGTTACAAAAAACAATGTCTGCATGCCGGGTTGTGGTGAGGATTCATTGAAATGCTGTGAGCAAAAAGTATCTTGCTCAGTGTCTGGGGCATTAATTGTGTGTGGGAATCTGGGTGTGATGCTGACCATCCTCCTTCTCCAGAGAGAAGAAAGAGCAAGCCATATGAAAGTATTGTTAGCAGTGATGTCAGGCTGGAGACTTTGGTCATTTAAAATCCTTGTGAAGCTACCAAAAATTATCCATTAAAACATGTTTTCAAATGTTTGCTGTACAGCAAGCTCTGGGGATGTGGCTGGGGCATGACCCAATCCTGGTGTTTAAGACTTTGAGAGACAGTTCAGAGAGATTGTCACATGGCTTTGGGAGAGGAGAAACCATGCAAAGGCCTGGTAAGGAGGGGACTCAGCCAGGAGCAGGTGGGAGGTAGGGCAAGGTCCTCCGGGAAGAGGGAACAGCATGTCTGGTTCATTGAGGGTATGTAGGCAGTCATTTACCTGGAAGTGCTGGGCAAAAGCACTTAGCACAGGACCATGTGCTCCACACTTGAGAACCAGGGCTTATTATTATTAAGTTTTTTTTGGTGGTACTCAGTTTGAAGGCAGGTCTCGAGCTTGATAGCAGGAGCTCTATTGCTAGAGTTGTGCCCCTAGCCCCTTTTTGTTTTAGTTATTGGGTTTTTGCAATGGGCCAGCCTGGACCACTATCCTTCTCCATAGGCCTCTTGTGTCATTGGGATGATAGGTGTACAACACTATGCTTCTTTTTTTGTTTTGTTTTGCCAAGCTGGCCTCAAATTATGATCCTCCCTATCTCTGCCTATTAGCTAGTTGGGATTAGAGGCATGAGCCACTGCACCTAGCCAGAACCAGGGCTTATGATAACCCTGGCTTATGACAAAGTTTGCCATAATCAAGGAGCCTACCTGAGAATGGGCAGAGCATAACAGATGCTTTCCACCATTAAAGAGATCTTGATCTCCTTATTCTCCCTTTTCCCTTCTTCCTGAGTTCTGAGGTTCCTTCCAGTGTAAATATTTCCATTATCAAAGGAAGGAGTCTAAGAGCCAGCATTCCACTGCTTCCAAACTAAAATGTTTAATGTCAGGCTTTTTCTGACAGGGATCACCTTTGGAAATTGAAAGGCCAGTGAAAAATTAGAATTACAAATTGTCTCATTCACCTTCCGTGTTTTCTTTTAAGACCAGTTGGGTGGAAACAAACCCAATTATTTCTTTATCACATGTAAAATACCCCCAAAGCTCAAGCCAAGTCTTGCTTTAGGTTGGTGAATTACTTAGAGGAGAGGCCAGCCTATTTCTAACCTGCACTATTAATTATAGGGCACTTGCAAAAAGAATTAAGCCTGGAAATGCAGTTGGCAAGCTAACACCTAATTCGGTAAATAATTGAGAGTCAAACCATTATTTTCCTGAAAACTTGAAATTGTTCAAAGTACTTTCCTGATTAGCACCTAAATAATAAAGTAATTATGTAATTAGTAATTAATTTGTCACTTCAGGACATAATTTAATTTATTATCTTTTCTTTGAAGCTTGACACTAGAGGTAATAGAGGCTGTGGCTGCGTTAAATTGTATTTCAGGGGCAGGCTGGGCAAGGATGGACTCTGGGATGAGTGCACATTGCCAGGACCTGGAGGGTAGGGTCCAGGATCCCTTTATAGGACTGGGGATGGCCATTTACTACTACGTTCAGTATATTCTTAGACACTGACCGAGAAAGGATTTTCTAGAGAATATGTGTTGTATGTGTTTTTGTGTGTAATGATGTGTCTTTTTTTTCTTTCTTTCTTGATACTGGGGTTTGAGCAGAAGGGTTTGTGCTTGGTAGACAGGCATTGTACAGTGCCATAGGCCACTTTTGCTCTGTTTATTTTGGAGATAGAGTCTTGCTTTTTGTCCAGGCTGGCCTTGATTATGATCCTATTTTATACACTTCCTGCCGTAGGTGGGATGACAGTTATACACCACCACCCCACCTTTTTTTTTCTGTTGAGATGGGGTCTTCTAAACTTTTTTGCCTGAGTTGGCCTGGAACCACGATCATTCTGATCTCCACCTCCCACGGAGCTAGGGTTACAGGTGTCAGCCATCAGTGCCCAGCTTGATGTGTGCTTCTTAATTCACTCCATAGTCCCTTTCTGGTGCCCTTATGTGCCCACAATGAGCTACTGGCTTTGAAGATTAGAGTCCAAATTGGTTTTGCCATGGCCCTTGCCCCTAAAAGGTTTTATATATTTGCATTTGTGTTGGTCTGTAGGTGTGTATGTCATAGGCCTTCATTCATTTCACTTGTTCAGCAAATGTTTGTGGAGCATGGTGCTCCATTCAGGAACTATGCTAAAAGCTAGACACCCAGTAGGATTGTGGAAAGGTGTCTGCTCTTAAGAGCCACAATTTCCACTAGTGGGGACAAATAAGAAACATATATACACTTCAGTTGGTGATAAGTGCCTTAAGGGCAATAAGACGGTACAAGGGAATAAGGTGTGTTGGAAGTATCATCTCTGATGGGATGACCAGATAAGAAGAGATGGTATTTAACAGGTTCACATGAACTGAAGTAATGAGATCCAGCTCTAGAGTTCCAGGCAGAGAGAACTGCAGATACAAAGGCCCTGAGGTTGGAACTTCTTGCCACTTTGGAAGAGGACGAAGAAGACCTGTATGGTTAAAGAACAGTGAGGGTAAAATATGGTGGGAGGTGAGGACCATTCTTGGAGCCCTTTGACTGTTCTCAGGTGGGGCTATATGAATGGGAGGGAGCCCTTCTAAAGCTTCTCCCTGGTCTTCAGTGCTCCCAAGAGATGGTAATGATGAGAGTGATGGCAGAACAGGCAAAGTTTGTTTAAACATAGGTCATCTGCATTTTACAAGATCTTTTTCACAAATATTATTCCTCCCATCAATTCCAGAGGGTGAAGCAGTTTAGGTAAAGCCCAGGGAGGCTGAAGAACCTGCCCAGGGTTATGCAGCAAGGGGAAGGCTAGCACTTGAACTTGGATCCTGAGCTTTGGGTGCTGAAAGGAGCTCAGAATGGCCAGCACAGCCTAAGCACCATGGATTTCAGGGCCGACATTAAGAAATGGAGGCCTCCTTGCCATTTTGGAAGGCCATAGAACTGATAGTCCAAGGGGTTAAGATTGACTGGATTGACTCTACAAGTAGCTCAGGCAAACAAGACTGAGTCTCATAAAAGCCGATTATCCAAACAGGATGGTGTTCTAATCACATCTTCAATGTGGCTGGAAGCGGGGGTGGGGGGCATGGGGGTATGACCTAGCATAATCAGAGGGAGAATTAAGAAGGGAGTAGCCTATGGAATATACTGTCCACCTTTATCCATGGGAGCCACAGAGAGGCAGGTGGATGACTTTCTCTGTCTGCAGAATTAGGGAGAAGTAAGGCTGCAGCCTTGGCCTGGGGCCTGCATTAGGCCCGAGCAGATCTCTGATGGCTAATGTCCTGGAAATGAAGGGGCCCAGTGAAGCTGGGTTGCAGGAAGTGTTATTCCTGAGGGGAGACCCGGACGTGTGGTAGGAGATTCTGGTGACTGCTTGAGCAGTCTTGTTATCTATTGTCTCTAGTGCTGAGCATGGCAGCTTCCCCTAAAGTAGATGCTCAGTAGACATTTTGTTGGAAAATAGTTTGATTAGAATTTAGACCCTGCCAGACTGAGATGGGGGTCCCAGCTCTCCCTCCCCCATGGTCTCATCCTTGGGTCCTACAGAGTTGGAATGAGAGACCTAAGCAGGGGGCTGATTCCATTCCTCACCTTTGTGATCTCCTTTGCAGCCCCTCCCACCTTTACAGAAACACCCCCCCAGTACATCGAGGCCAAGGAGGGTGGCAGTATTACTATGACCTGCACAGCTTTTGGGAATCCTAAGCCCATTGTCACCTGGCTCAAGGAGGGGACACTCCTCGGTGCTAGTGGAAAGTACCAGGTGAGCATGGCTCCAGGCTGCGGTGCTGCACCCACTTGTCTTCTTCCCCTGCAAGACAGCTGACTATGCACAAGCACCGGAAGAGGCAGGAAAGCTGGCAACCTGGCCTGGCTGCCAGTGTCCTGCTGTGTCTTGGAAGGGGATGGACAAGCAGGTACTTGTCCTCTATACCCCCTGTGTTTGTGTCCCTGAGGCCTTCTCCAGCCCAGCTTCTCTGACTATGTCTCTCTGCCGCAGGGGTGTGTTAGTGAGACCCACATGTGGGTGCTGAGTTCTGTCTGTCCTTGGCCCCTAGGTGAGTGACGGCAGCCTGACGGTGATGTCAGTTAGTCGGGAGGACCGAGGCGCCTATACCTGCCGAGCTTATAGTATCCAGGGGGAGGCTGTCCACACAACCCACCTGCTTGTCCAAGGTAGGCGAACTTCTTCAGTCTCTTTCTCCCTTGAGCTCTTCAGGCCATTTTTCCAAGATGCAGCTGAGGATGGTGGAAGACCTGGGTGACAGCTCCTGTGTCCTGCATGCTTCACTGGCCAGATCCCACCCTGATCTGTCAGGCAAGGGCATTACAGAATAGCAGGAAGGCAGTGTGCTGGGTGGTTTCTGGTTTCTCTCTGTCCAGAAAGCATCCCTGCCATGCTTCTGCCTCCCCAGGAGAGGAGACCTCCCTTGGGTCATCTATCCATTAGTGACAGTATCAATAAGTAAAGATAGGAATGTGGTCCAAGCCCCAGATATTTAAACAACACTGAGGGCATTTGGCAGAGCTGGAGTTTGTAGAGTCAGCACCATAAGATGCCAGTCTGTCCAGCCTGGGCCCCAAAGTGTCCCAGAAGGGGCTGGGCACTGACTGCCTAGGAATGGTTGGGGTCCTGCCTTCCTGCCCTCTATCTGCTAAAGAGACAGAGTGGGAGTCAGTGTTAGCCTTGTCCAGTTGACAGAGTGGCTGTGGTGGCACTCTCTCTTCTTGGTGAGCGGCAGCTGGGGCCAGAGGTCCCTCTGCAGCTTGGCAGGAAGCTGGTCCCTCTCTTGGGAGAGGGCCAGACCATAGGCAGACTGTGTCTGGCCAGCCAGCACTAGGGCCTGCTGGAAGTTCACCCTCCCTCCGCTCCCCAGCCTTTCCCTGAGCTGCCCTCTTCGCCTCTGGCTGCTGAGCCACACAAGACAGCCTCCCCTGGAGGTGAGATCATTACTTGCTTCTTCCTGCTTGTCTCCTCCTGGGCTGTGCCGCCCTGGCACCCCTTCCTGAGCACTTCAGAGCTTCCTGGGAGGCCTTGTGGACTCTCCCTTCCCATTAGGACAGGTGATGTTTGTTCCCTGTTCTCTCTAGGGCCTCCTTTCATCGTTTCCCCTCCTGAGAACATCACCGTCAATATCTCCCAGGATGCTCTGCTCACCTGCCGGGCAGAGGCGTATCCCGGCAACCTCACCTACACCTGGTATTGGCAGGATGAGAACGTCTACTTCCAGAAGTGAGCACCATCCTGCTCTGACCCTCTCACTGGGGTCTTCCCTGCCAAGTTCCCAGGGACAAGGGTATCTGCATGGAGGGGCCTTGAGAGAGGGCACCAGGAGTGCAAGGGAGCACGGGGTCTCCTTGCCACATCTAGGGGAGGTGAAAGTTACTCATTGCTACCTTTCTTGGGTGTCTGCTGAACATCTTCATTCACCTGCCAACACCTGCCTTGTCTCCTTGCTGACTTTGTAGTGACCTGAAGCTGAGGGTGCGGATCCTGATTGATGGGACGCTGATCATCTTTCGGGTGAAACCAGAAGATGCTGGGAAGTACACCTGTGTCCCTAGTAACAGTTTGGGCCGCTCCCCTTCAGCCTCAGCGTACCTGACTGTGCAGTGTGAGTAGGGGTGAGGGAGAGCGCAGCTGGCTATTCCAGAAAGTTCAAGCCACATTAGCCAGGTTGAAGGAGGGCAGCAAAGAGTAAGCACCTTTTGGGGGAATGTGGGTGGAAGAATGACTGAGTCAGCTCAAGAGGAGGCCATGACCAGTGTGGCCAGTAGGGGTGAACTAACACTTGCGAGGCATCTTCTGAGCTGGTGTCAGCTAGTTGATTAAGTCAGACCTAGGTTGGATTCAAAGACAAGCAGATTTGATTTTTGAATTACTGCCTGTATTGAGTGCTGGCCCACACCTCTTCCTTGACTTAGTCACTGTGGAGCATTTTCCCAGGTGTCAGCTTAGAACCAGGCAGGGTTATTTCTCCAGCAGCTGCACTTGGCTTTCCACACTGGATGGTATGGGGCGAGGGGAAGAAGGCCTTCTTCCGGGGTGACTCAGACTAGTTCCCACACCCGGCTCCTTGTGCCTGCCTCATCCCTCTTCTCAGGCTGTGAGAGATCCAAATGAATGTGCTGCTTCTCAGCCAGAACAATCAAGGGTTTCTGTGTGAGCAGAGTAATTCAGTTTGCTAATCTTTAATACTTGAGCGCTGTTGGTTGCTTTCCCACCCCCGGCAAGCTGTGCATTGTGAGAGGGGGAGAGAGAAGGCTCAGTAATGAGGATTAATATCTTTCTTTTGATTCGTGGATGGCCCCGTCACTCAGGTAACAAAGGCTCCACATTGTTGCTACAGGTGACAGATGCTCCATCATTGGAGGACTGGTGTGGGAGAATTGCTCACACCCAAGGACATGAAGTGGCAGGGGTGAGAAGTATAGTGATTTAGAGACTAACTGACCCTGGGTCAGCCTGCAACCTGAGGACAAGTAGAAGACCGGTGGGTGGCTCTAGGGGGTGGAGCTCCTTTGACTGTGCTGCATAAAGAGTGGATTGTGGATGCGTGTCTGCAGTCAGGGTGGTAGACTTAAGCTGGAGCTGAGCCCTACCTAAATCTCACCTAGGCTTTCATCATTTTCTTTTCTCCATGGATGACTTTGTGGAAGAGGAAAAGGCCGCAGTTTTTTACTGCTGACCACTCAGAAGGATGCATAGATGCTATGGTGGAGCTATGAAGCCTAGGATGACAGGTGGATCCCACTAGACCTGCAATAGGGAAAGCAAGTTAAGAGGTTGTTCATGAGTGACTTTAGGAGGTGTCTGTGCTGGAGGGGAAAGGTTGGAAAGAAGGAGCAGACTTCTCCATCTTGCAGGTGGATCCGTCTCTTTGGGCTAGATTTTGTCAGTGCCACCTGGACAAGAAGGTGGCAGTGGTGCTAGGGGTGGGGACTCCAGCAAGGAGTGGATTTCAGAAGGATGACAAACTAACCAGTGTGAAGGCCCCATCCTCAAAGCTGTAGGTCATTATTCTGTTGGAGAGCATTTTGGTTTCTCTGTCTTTTCCCAGTGTGGCACCACCACCCACTCCCACTTGTCCTTTTTTACCTCCTTCCTGCCTTCTAAGAGAATCCAGGGGGTTGAGATTTACAGGTGGGTGAGACGAGAATCTTTATTTCTGCTGAAGAGCAGTGCTCAGAGTATTTCCCATTCATAAACCCTTTGCAAACCTTGGAGGAAAAAAAAAGACTCTACCACACAAAAGTGGGAAGCTATGTCTAAATATATAACTCGGCCTGGTATTTATGTAATGCTGTTCTCTGAAGAGCTCAGAATGCTTAAAAGGTACCAGCTCATTCATCCCATGGCCTCTCTAGTTCTGGATCCTTCTTCCCTGTACCCCTCAGGGGCACCTGGGGAGAACCGAGAGGAGGTGACTCAGCCTGCAGCACTGGGCTGTGGGGCTCTCTGTGAGAACCTATGTCTTTCTTGTGGCCAGAGTTGATTCTGCATTTTAACTGCAGAGTCTGAGGGAACACTGGGGCCAAGGGAGGCCAGACGACCAGCAGAAGGAGTGGAGAAGAGAAAAAATAGCCACACTTTATGCCTGTGATAGCCTCATGCATAGAAATGACATTGCTGTTCTGGTTTAGGATGTTGAGAGACTGAACCATTGCTCCCAAGAGAGACTTTAGGAAAAGGAGCAGTTGGGGAAGGGTATGGTCAATGTTGGCTTTGATGGTTGGAATTTAGGGGCTGGGGAAGTGGACCTTGACAGCAGCTGAGAGTGTGCCTGTGAATGCTCTGAGCATTCTTAAGCTTCCTAAAGTTCTTATAGTTCTTCAAACTATGGTAGGCTGGACAGACAAAAGAAGAGTGCAGCCTGTCTAAGCCAGCAGTATGTGGTCCTGAGGCTGAAAGTCCTAAACAGCTGAGTTTTTTGTGATTGTTATCTGTGTGGCCCTGGCCCCCAACACTGTGTTGAGCACTTGAGCCACATGGTGTGTGTGCAGGCTTGGGGTGGACGTGCTGGCAGTGCCTGTGTGTGTGTGCTGGCTCTCTTCCCACCTTGATTGCTTGCCTGGTTTCTCTTGTGTTCTTCTACCCCACCCCTTTGCAGACCCAGCCCGTGTCCTCAACATGCCCCCTGTGATTTATGTGCCCGTGGGAATCCACGGCTATATCCGCTGCCCTGTGGATGCAGAGCCCCCTGCCACCGTGGTAAAGTGGAACAAGGATGGCCGCCCCTTGCAGGTTGAGAAGGTATGATAGTACACATGTTGGGGTGCAGACTGAGAAGCATCCAACACTAAGGATGCCACCTTTGGCCTTTGGTTTTCTACCACCCATCCCTCCGCCCCCCATGCTGGGAAAACAAAATGCTGCCTCTGGTAGGGCTCAGTGTCTCCCAGCAATTTGGTTGTGCTCACAGGTACTACCTGATTCAGGCCATAGCTGCTGTTCTGTCCTGCATTCTGTCTGGCCCAGCTCAGGTGGATAGGATGGAGCACCCTCTCCCTGACCATTGCTCATGCATTGTTGTCTATCTGACAGAACCTGGGTTGGACGTTGATGGAGGATGGCTCCATTCGAATTGAGGAGGCCACAGAAGAGGCTCTTGGCACTTACACGTGTGTGCCTTACAACACCTTGGGGACCATGGGCCAGTCTGCTCCTGCAAGGCTTGTCCTGAAGGTGAGGCCCTAGGGCTATGCACTGCCTCCTTGTGTGCAGGCACCTGAATGCCCTACTTCATGAGTGTGCCTGTGCCCCCCAGGACCCCCCGTATTTCACGGTGCTACCAGGCTGGGAGTATAGGCAGGAGGCTGGCCGGGAGCTGCTCATCCCCTGTGCAGCTGCAGGGGACCCCTTCCCTGTCATCACTTGGAGAAAGGTACTTGGGCTTTGGAGCTCCTGGGCTGTGAGGGAGGTGGGTCAGACCTGGTGGCCAGTTCTGCCTGGACCTGCTATGAACAGGCCAGGTGTTGAGTGGGGAGATGACTGCCTGGAGCAATGGATGCTCCCAGGAGGGTCAGTGGCTAGTTGTGGGCTAAGGGCCCAGGGATGGCCCTTCACTGTCCTCACAGTCTTTGGACTCCTGAGCTCTTGGTGTCTCCTCTCCTAATCTCTGTCTTCACTCCTGCTTGCTCCCTCCCCCTCATTTGGCAAGGTAGGGAAGCCCAGCCGAAGCAAGCACAGCGCCCTACCCAGTGGGAGTCTCCAGTTCCGCGCCCTGAGTAAGGAGGACCATGGGGAGTGGGAATGTGTTGCCACCAACGTGGTCACAAGCATCACTGCCAGCACCCACCTCACCGTCATCGGTATGTGGCTGGATGGGCAGCAGGACAAAGGGCAGGCCAGCTGGGGGCTGGGCATCGGACACCAAGGGGCTTTCCCTAGTGACTGTCCCCACTCTGCAGGCATCTTTCCTAGATCAGTTATCCCTGAGCCCAGAGTCTACTACCTGCAGTGTCTTCTAGGAGTTGTGTAAGGGAAGAGCAACGTGGGTCCTGCCCTTGGAGGGGACAGGCAAATGTACCCAGCAATATCTGACACAGAGGCAGCTGTGTGACCAGGGAAACTGAGCATAGGAAAGCTGGAGGTACTGGAACAAGAGCAAATCAGGATGTGCAGCATCTTGGGTGGGTACTGAGCTGAGGCTTGAAGGCTAGGCCTGGCATGAGGAGTCTAAGGCAGGAGGAAGTGACTGGTGTTCCTGGTTCCAATTATTTGGAGCATGTGTCCTCAGGACCTGAGCCTGTCTTTTTGCAGCCCATTCCGCTGGGTTCTGACAGCCACTGTCATACCCACAGCCAACACTGAGCATTTACCACAGTTTAAGACTTTGAACCCATAGTCCACATCTTGTTATTCACAACCTAGGAGGGGAGCTGGCCTTTACCCGGTGACGTTTGTCAGAACTAAGCACCTTGGTCAGTGTCACATCACTAATTACTGGTAGGACTCAGACTTGAGCTGATACATGACCTGCTGTGTGGATGGAACATGGCTGTCTCTTGAGGCTGGAAATCCTCATTGAGGGGACAATTCTTGGTGTTTCCCAGGACCTTAGGGATGCATTTCTGAGCTTATGAGGAGCTTATGAGGAGTTTGGCCTGGGACAATAAGGGTTCTTGGTCATGCAGTCTCTTGCCAGTGAGACTTGACTGCACAGTAGAGCAGCTTCCTTCTCCAACCCTGGCAAGGTTGGGGGAAACTGTAACCTCAGAGCCTTCCCTTGTCCATCCTACTTGCCAGGATGCATTTTGCTACTATATGCTTCGTCCTTTATTGGGTTCCCTACAGCAAGATGATGGGTACTCAACAAATGGGCTCAGCTCCTTTCAGTCTGAGAGGTCTTCCTTGGTCTCCAGGCACCAGCCCCCATGCCCCGGGCAGTGTCCGGGTCCAGGTCTCCATGACAACTGCCAACGTGTCCTGGGAGCCAGGCTATGATGGAGGCTACGAGCAGACATTCTCAGTTTGGTACGGACCTCTGTGAGTCAGCCCTGCATGCTTTGCTCTCTGCTTCTCCCTCACTTGCCTGACTCAGGCAGTCCTGGGATGGGTGGAGGGTCTGAGGAGGCTGTGACTCTGTGCCTGCCAGCCCTGTAGACAGACAGCAAAGTGGGTTAGACAGTGACTAGGTACTTGTGGGTCTTAGGGGGTGTCTGTGAGGGACTCAGGGCACTCCTGTGTTCCCAGTTTTGAGGTTGGGAAAGCTAATTTGGGTCTTCGCCTGAATTGTCCCATGCAGCTTTCTTTTCAGCTTAGCCTCATTCTTTTTCTAGCTTCTTCCAGAATCTGGAAGAGACTTCTAAACTTTAGTGGTGCTGGGAAACAGCCCAGCCTGAAGCCCAGGGTCTAATTTTAATTCTATCTTTTGCCCAGTGGTTCTAGTCACCAGGGGTGGAGAACTGGTGCTCACGTGCCTGGCCTTGTCTTCAGCATCCCATTTTCATGCTTTTATTATTAATTTAGCCAGATCAGTAATGTGAGATCTTTGCCCAAACTAGGGTAGATAGAGATCTCAAAAATGCATGAACCAATATGAGGACAAGGGGCACAGTAAAGGTGGAAGAGAAGCCCAGTGGAATTCCCTCCCATTCCCTTCTCCTCATACACCTGTCCTGAGCCAAGAACTACAGCCTCCTGCATCAGGATGAGCCCCCCACCCCCACTTCTTCCTTTTCAAACCTGTCCCTCCTGGCTGGTGTGCTTCCAGCCAGGTTCAACCAGAGTCTGAGGAGGAGGAGAAACCAGAACTCATGGTGACCCCTTGAAATACCCCTCAATGGAATGGGGAACTGAGGGAGCCTCCCCTGTTTTCTGTTGGGGTGATTTGGGGACTATTCCCAGGCTTGATATCCTGGATATTTTGAGTTCTGGAGCTGTGGCCAGAACACCTTCCCACCTCTATATCAGCAGCAGGAAGGGTGTGGGGAAACAGGCAGGACACACACACACACACACACACACACACACACACACACACACACAAAATGACCAGGATGAAACAATACTGCCCAGGGGTGCTGCAAGATGCGTGGGGAGGAGCCATCTCTGGGGATGCCTGAGTGGGTGGTCTGGGCACAGATTGGGGTTTCCCTTGCTGCTTGTGGCGCTACTCCACACTGCTGCTCATCTGCATTGCTTTATCACACTTTGCTCACTCGCTTTGGTGCCCTGAATGGGGAAGGGTGGTTGCCAAGGTGGGGAGGTCTCTTTCTCTCTTTCTGGCTGCCTCCCACTCTGTGCTGAATCAGACATTAGGTGCCAGCTTTTTTTTTTTTTTTTTTTTTTTTTTTTTTGCTATGTTTTCCTTTGCCTCAACTCACCCTCCTGGGCATACATGGTAGCAAACCTTTAAACCTAGAGGGGAACCCAGTGGGCATCTGCTTAGTTACTGCTCATGGTGGCAAGGAGTGGGCCAATTTCAAAGGACAATGTCTCCTCCTGGTGGTGAGGTGGTGGTACTGCACCTGCATCAGGTGGCTTTGCTTATTGGGAGTTGGGGGCCCTTTAGAACAATGGAAAACCCTCACTCAATGTGACCTTCCTCTTAATTGTGATTTGTAAACCTCAAGGCCTTAAGAATCCTGGTCCCACTGTGGGTAAACCTCTAGTCAGTTTTGTTGTATACCTTTGACACCCTCAGATGACCCAAATCTGATAGGACTGAGTTAACTTCCTGGGTTACTCTAGGTCTCATGTTTGGCTCTCCCTAGTAGGGTGGGCAGACAAGGTCATCTGGGTTCCTTCCATAGCCCTGCCATTATTCATCTTCTCTTCCCTACTCTCCCAAGTCAGCCCACTTGTAGGGTGGTACTCAGAGTGATATTCTTCCACAAAACTACTAGAAATCTGACTCATATCTTCAGTGTGATTTATACCCGAGGGCTCCTTTCTGTAGGGAGGTACCAGCAGTGGCAGGAGTCTAGTGTCATGAGGGTTGGCACAGCCAGAGCTGGGCAAGTCACCCTACCTTGGCCATCTCCTCTTTCTGCCCTTGATTTGGGAATGCTTGTCCTCTCGCTGCCTTCCCCCTGAGGACCTTGCATGCACACTCTTCTCTCCAGTGTGACCCACCCCACCTCTTGTCTCCCATCCTCTCTCTCTCTTTTGGCCAGGATGAAGCGGGCACAGTTTGGGCCCCATGACTGGCTGTCCTTGTCGGTGCCACCGGGCCCCAGCTGGTTGCTGGTAGATACCCTGGAGCCTGAGACTGCATACCAGTTCAGTGTCTTGGCCCAAAACAAGCTGGGAACCAGCGCCTTCAGTGAAGTGGTCACTGTGAACACTTTAGGTGAGGCCCCCAGCTGGCATGTCTTGGGGCTCTCCCTACCAGAGCTAGACAGACAAAGATAATGATGGTGATGATCCTAGAGTCAACATTTAGGGCTTAGTGCATGCCCAGCCCTTAGCTAAGTGCTATCTTTGATGGTTCCACTTGATTTCCCAATAGGGATTTGCTATGTCATTCTGTAAAGTTTGCCCAGTCCCAAATCACAGTACTTTCTGACCAAATTCCTGGCACATCTTCAGCTGGAAGGAAGAGGTTTGTATTTTGTCCTGCCCTGTTAGAATTCCAGGCAGACTGGGGAGTCCTCCTTCTGCACTGCCTCTGAGGCCTAAGAGAGGGCCTTGGCAAGCAGGATCGGGGGAGGAGCACAACTCCAGCCCTGTTTGCAGAATCCTTTCCTATACTGCCACCAGGTGAGTAGCAGGTGTGAGATGCTTACCCCCAACTCTGCAGTGCCTCTGCTGGGCCTCATTTTTGTGCTGTGGGGCCAAGAAGAGACTTGAAAGAGTAGAATGTGCTGTGAGATGATTTTCCTAGTTGCTGGAAAAGAACAAAAGATACAGTCATGTGTCTCTTCACAGCAAGGGTATGAGTTGAGGATTCCTGGACGTGTGTTGTTAAGCAGTGTTGTCATTGTGTGAACATCATAGTGTGTGTTTACACAAACCTAGATGGTACAGCATAAGGGAAAATAGTGCAATCAAGAGACATGGTGAACACAGGATTCATGAGCTGTTCATTGGCAGAACAGGGCATACTCTTACGGGAAACTTTTCTCATAAGTAGGAATCACTTGTAAGTGATAAAATGTATGGTATAGTAAATATGTAAAACAGTAGCATAGTTATGTATTATCATTATCAAGTCTTCTGTACTATACACAGCTACACTTTGATAGACTGGCAGCATAGTAGCGATAACAGCATCACTACAAGCACGCGAGTAACATGTTGCTGCAGGACGTTACCATGGCTACTGTGCCTCTAGTGGATAGAAATTTTTCAGCTCCATTAAATCTTATGGGATCCTTGTCATAGACACAGTTCTTTGTTGACTGAGGTGTTATGCAGCCCAGGACTATAATTTAATTACAGTCAATTCTTCTGTCCCCATAGTTCCATTTCTTCCCTTTTGAGAAGGTCATTGTTTCCCCCATGAATGTTCTCTAATCATACTCTAAAAGTAGAGTCATGAAGCTCTGGCCACGACTTCCCTTCCCTTGGACCAGAAGGGCTACTCTAGTCCCCCTGAAATGCCACATTCCTTCCTGTGTGGGCCCACATGTGCTCTTGAGTGGGTGAGGGAGTCTGTAGCCACCTCGTATTTCCAGTGCCATCTTCTCTGTCCTCTTGCTGCAGCATTCCCTATTACAACTCCAGAACCTCTGGTGCTGGTTACCCCACCAAGGTGCCTCACAGCCAATCGGACCCAGCAGGGTGTGCTCCTGTCCTGGCTCCCACCTGCCAATCACAGCTTCCCCATTGACCGCTACATCATGGAGTTCCGAATTGGGGAGCGCTGGGAGATGCTAGACGATGCCATTCCAGGCACCGATGGAGACTTCTTTGCCAAGGATCTGTCACAGGTGAGGGTCTGCCTTGTCTCTTCTTCCCAGATTCCAGAGTGGCCTAACCTTTTCTAGAACCACTGGAAGCTTGGAATGACCCAACTCAGGTTGTGCATGACCTGCACATCTGGATTCTCCCAGATCTGCTAGCAAAGTTTGAACTGGGTCCCCCAGATTCAGGTCCAATTTGGTGGCAGTGGGGATTTGTGCTGCACAGAATCAGTTAGGGCAGGGCAGGATAGGAGACCAACTTATCTCATCAAACCCCTGACCTCAGCTCTTTGCTGGATTCTGACTGAGTGGGCTGAGGAGGTCTCAGAAGGATTGTCTTCTAGGTTTGCCAGGGGAAAGCCTTCCTTGAATAGTTTAAAGCCCCTGAATGAAAATGTTCTTCTTTTTTTTTTTTAGTGGGCCCCCTTTAAACATGAATGTCTCTCCATCTTGGGAGAGGAAGCACCCTACTCAGTAGATACAGTCTCATGTATCGTTTTGTCTGTCTTGCCTGGATGCTCCCTAGGTGGGGGCTGGAATTAGTTCAGAGTAGCTTTTGAGAGCCGCTCCACTATGCATCTCTTCCTTTGTCTGTCTGTCTCTCTCGTTCTCTCTCTAGATAGATCTTTTTACCTCTTTCAGTGACTTCACAGTCACAGTTTGAAATCAGTGACAGTGGGACTATTTACACTCCAGCAATTGGCTAGTGTGAGCAATCACTTACCTCTTAACTACTACCAGGGCTCTTGTGCTCTGGGTGCCCTGTTCCATGGAAACCACGTCAAGGATCAGTAGTGCTGGGGGCATTGGTGGTCCCAGATCTCTTGGCTAACTGGGTATTGTTCCTGGGGTTTTAGGACACCTGGTACGAGTTTCGGGTATTGGCCGTCATGCAGGATCTCTTCAGCGAGCCCAGCAACATTGCGGGAGTCTCCAGCACAGGTACTTGGGGTCTGAGGTTTCTTACAATGATACGCACATAAGCCCAGAGCTATGAGTCTTTTTGTAAAACAGCTAATCTGTGAAGACAGGCTTGGTTGGAAACTAAGGAGGTGTCTAGTTCAAACTGCACAGCCCATGGCATTTCAGAAGCCCATCAAGATCTGTGCTTCCATGGAGCAGGGTGTCTTATCCCACTTCTGATGGTTCTGTGTGATAGCCGTAGAAGGAATTTCAGTGAATCTTCTTATTACAGTTGTCAAAAAGAACTTGATTTAAGCACTGCCTGCTATACTGTCTCCTCTGGCGCTGCTTTGAGATGGGGGTGGAGCTGTGATTGGAGGGAAGAGACAGCAGGTCAGCAAGTGTTTATTGGATGCCTATTATAGGTTTCTTTATAATTATGTGGGTTTTATTTGGAAAATTGTTGTTTGGTGTGGTTTTCTTCCCTTCCTTCCTCTCCCTAGATTTTTTTTCAGGCTAAATAAAGCCAACTCCCTAGCATTTTCTTCATTTATCTTTTTTTCTCTTGGCACCAGTCCCATTTCTACACATCTTCTCTTCAGCTCCGGGTCCTGAAATATAGCAGGGTCCCTACCCCAGGGAGGTGGTGTCCTTGGTAGGGAAGAGACTCTTGCCTAGCAAGCAAGCCATGGCACCATTTCCTTGGGCATGGTGTGTAGAGCCCTTGGGGCCAGGGGACAAGGATCTTTGCCAAAAAGCGTATGCAGTGAGCCTGGGGACTTACAAAAACCCTGGTGAGGGCAGGTTGGGGGAGGGCAGAATTGGGGCAGCCAGGAGCATGGGGATGGGGAAGAATCGAGTGTGATTTCTGTCTCATATATTAGGCATCCTGGGGCCTTTTTGTAAAAACAAAGTAACCTCTTCTAGGGAGCAGAACACAGCTAATTTCTGTCTTGGCTTCTCTCCAGGGAAGAGATTCAGAGAGATGGAGGAACAAGGAAGACAGCTCACAGTCAGAGCCAAAAGCGAAGGCTTGAGTGTTTTGTGGGTTCCTTCTGTGAACTGTTCTGTGCTCAGTAGTTTTCTGTGTGGATCCTGAAGGAAGTCAAAGGATTCCATTTGGGTGAATGAGGATGCAACCACTTAGCATTTTCTGTATTTAAGTCCCCGTTTTCCCAAGGCTGTGGCATTCATTTTCCACTCAAACCATCAGCATAACTTGGATTATTTTTACCCATTATTATCGTCAACATGGCAATGAACTCTGTCCAAATATATCACACTGTATTGATTTTCCCTTTGATGGACCTGAAGAGTGGCACTGTGATCTAACTGTCCTCAGGATAGTATAGCAGGTGGAGTCTAGTCCTGGCTCTGCCACTAACTAGCCCAGGAATCTGGGTACAAAGTGAGCCTCAGCTCTTTACCTGTAAAGGAGGAGAGCTGAGCCCTCTTGTCCAGCATTCGTCTGTAGCAGAGATGACCAGGACACACTATACTGAAAATGCCTATACTGAAATGAGTGAAGAGATGGGTGGGTCTGAATTCTATCATGACAGTCCCTCTCCCTGAAACAGTATTTTACTTTACTCCCAAGGTGCCTTCGTTTTTGCAGAGACAGATTGGGGAAGGCAGAAAATCTTGGACTGGAAGTCAGAACAACTGGGCTCTGGTTAGGGCACTGATAGCAGGATGAGCAAATCATTCAAACTCAGTTGGCCACAGTGTTTTCCTTTAGAGAGTGAGAATGGTACATGTGCTGTCTATGTCTAGCTCACAGGCTTAATGCCCCAGAGTGCTTTGCAACATGTACAGCTCCAGACAGACATAGGTGATTATGAGTTATGAAGAGGTTACTTAACTTCTGTAGACCTGTAGACTCTTCTCTCCCTCTTCATACCACCATACGAACCTCTTTACACCTCTTTTTTTCTTGGCAGAACTGAGGATTGAACGCTGGGCCTCAGGCTTGTTAGACAGATGCTCTACTACTTGAGCCAAGGCCTTTTGCTTTTAATTTGTTTTCAGATAGAGTTTCACACTTTTGTCTGGACTGGCCTCAAACCAGGATCTTCCTACCTCTGCCTTCCGAGTAGCTGGGATTACAGCTACTTCTTTAAAGATGATGGAGCTGAGAATACAGGCTGAGCATAGACTGGTCTGTTGTACAGTGGTGGAGCAAAATTCTTGAGGACTGAATGTCAGAATAGGTATGGGGTGCCAGGGCAGGAATGGGACCCATGAGTGTTTTCACCCTCCTTGCAGATATCTTCCCACAGCCGGACCTGACTGATGACGGGCTGGCCCGGCCTGTGTTGGCTGGGATTGTGGCTACCATCTGCTTCCTGGCAGCTGCCATACTGTTTAGCACTCTGGCTGCCTGCTTTGTCAACAGGCAGCGCAAGCGTAAGCTAAGGAGAAAGAAAGGTGGGTGTCTGCCCTTCTTGCCCTATCTAGTTGTGTTCAGATGCTCCCCACAGGAGAACGGACCATTTGTAGCATGCCCCCCAACTTCAAAATAGGGAAACTCGGGTCTTATGGGTAGAGCTGCCACTGGGACTTAATTTGAAAGAGGGAGGAGGGCAGCAGGGCTGAAGGGAGAGTCAGGTGGGCCTGGACTGCAGGGTCAGTGGGCCTGGTGATGGCATAGGCCTCTGAGCTGGACACAGAGGTGACTATGCAAGCACAGTGCTTTCCCCTTGTGGCTTTGTGTCTGGCCTTCCCTGTTGACACCAGGGTATGGGCTGCTGGGTGTTTATGGGCTCAGGCCTCAGTGGGCTTCCTCCCTTCCTTTTTCCTTATAGACCCTCCACTCTCCATCACTCACTGCAGGAAGAGTCTTGAGTCTCCGTAAGTGTCTCTGGCAGTTGGCGGTCTGTGCGTAGAAGGGGGAAACTGGACACAGGTGGACAATTTGCCTTGTTTGGCCCCATTTCTGTGTTTCTAAGTTTTTTCCTGTTAACTGACCTGCAGGTTCATTTTAAGTTGTCTGCACGAATCAAGGGATCAATAGTATAGATAGTCCAAACTAGCAGGTTTTCGTTTCTCTTTAGTTTTGCAATGCATTTCTGTAATTTTTTTTGTCCTAACATATTTGCTTTCTTAATATGTTTTGCTTAAATCAGTATTAAAATGAGTTTACATTTCTTGAACAACCAGGGAATGAAGTGGAGGTGTATTTAATGGAGTGCCAAATTTAGGGGAAGGCCAGAAAAAAAGTAGCAATGTGGGTGTTCATTTTAAAAATGGACAACACATGTGTAGATAATTGAGTCTGCCAGGGTTTCTCACCAAAATATAGGCCTGTATAGTCTCTTTTTCTTTAGTGTTACTTTCCCAGTTGTTAGTGGTTTTTGTTACGACAATGAAAAGAAGCTATGGGCTGGTGTGCAGCACTCCTTATCACCTCCTGCTCTTGCTCTGCTTGCAGTTTGTCCTCTGGCAAGGTGAGTCCAGAGAGCATCCGTACGCTCCGTGCACCATCTGAGTCCTCTGATGACCAGGGCCAGCCTGCAGCCAAGAGGATGCTGAGCCCTACCCGGGAGAAGGAGCTGTCCTTGTATAAGAAGACCAAGAGGGCCATCAGCAGCAAGAAGTACAGTGTGGCCAAGGCTGAGGCTGAGGCTGAGGCTACCACCCCCATTGAACTGATCAGCCGTGGTCCTGATGGCCGCTTTGTGATGGATCCCTCCGAAATAGAGCCCTCCATGAAGAGCCGACGCATCGAGGGTTTTCCCTTTGCTGAAGAGACAGATATGTACCCTGAGTTCCGACAGTCAGATGAGGAGAACGAGGACCCGCTGGTGCCCACGTCTGTGGCTGCTCTGAAGTCACAGTTGACCCCTCTGTCTTCCAGCCAGGACTCCTACCTGCCACCACCAGCATACAGCCCTCGGTTCCAGCCCCGTGGGCTGGAGGGCCCAAGTGGCCTTGGAGGTCGGCTCCAGGCCACTGGCCAAGCGCGGCCTCCAGCTCCCCGGCCCTTCCACCATGGCCAGTATTATGGGTACCTCAGCAGCAGCAGCCCTGGGGAGGTGGAGCCACCGCCCTTCTACATGCCAGAAGTGGGCAGCCCCCTGAGCTCGGTCATGTCGTCCCCACCTCTACACACTGAGGGGCCTTTTGGCCACCCCACCATTCCTGAGGAAAATGGAGAGAATGCTTCCAATAGCACGCTACCCTTGACTCAAACACCGACAGGAGGGCGCTCCCCTGAGCCCTGGGGCCGGCCGGAGTTTCCCTTTGGGGGTCTGGAGACCCCAGCCATGATGTTCCCCCACCAGCTGCACCCGTGTGATGTGGCGGAGAGTCTGCAGCCCAAGGCCTGCCCACCCCGAGGACTGCCCCCCACCTCCCTCCAGGTGCCTGCAGCCTATCCAGGCATCCTGTCTCTGGAGGCACCAAAGGGTTGGGCAGGCAAGTCACCAGGCAGGGGCCCTGTCCCAGCGCCCACAGCCTCCAAGTGGCAAGACAGACCTATGCAACCTCTGGTCAGCCAAGGGCAGCTAAGACATACCAGCCAAGGTATGGGCATACCTGTGTTGCCTTACCCCGAGCCAGCAGAGCCGGGGGGGCACGGTGGCCCCAGCACATTTGGCCTGGATACCCGGTGGTACGAGCCCCAGCCCCGGCCCCGGCCCAGCCCCCGGCAGGCCCGGCGTGCCGAGCCCAGTTTACATCAAGTGGTGCTACAGCCCTCCAGGCTCTCACCTCTGACCCAAAGTCCCCTCAGCTCCCGCACTGGCTCCCCTGAGCTGGCTGCCCGCGCCCGGCCTCGCCCGAGTCTCCTACAGCAGGCCGAGATGTCAGAGATCACCCTGCAGCCACCGGCCGCGGTCAGCTTCTCTCGCAAGTCCACGCCGTCCACTGGCTCCCCTTCTCAGAGCAGCCGCAGTGGGAGCCCCAGCTACCGGCCTGCTATGGGCTTCACCACACTGGCCACAGGCTACCCCTCCCCTCCACCGGGCCCTGCCCCTGCAGCGCCTGGGGACAACTTGGATGTGTTTGGGCAGACACCTTCCCCTCGTAGGATGGGGGAGGAGCTACTCCGGCCAGAACCCCCAACAACGTTACCTACTTCAGGGTGAGTGCAAGCTGTTGTTTCCTGCCCACCTCCCCCTGGTCCACTTCCTCCCCCCATGCCTCGCCCTGCCCTCCACCCTCCATCACCCCAGCAAAAGGGCTTGTTTGGACATGCCGCAGCATCCCTGGGAGCGGAGTTCTGGCCTTGGCATTGGAAGGGTGTACTCACTTGGGCAGTGTGGGCTGACCTGCCCAGGTACCCCACCAGCAACTTCAGGGGGCTTCTTACCCAGCCCAGAGCTCTCAGGAGGCCCACAGAGTACCAGAAGTATGGGGAAAGGGAGGGGGACATGGCGGGGCAGACAGTGACTTCTGTGAGTGGCACCCTTGGATTGGAGGCCCTCAATGTCCCTGTGATGTTGGTGTTGGGTGGTAGTTCCCTAGAGTTGTCCCTAGACCTCACATCCAGCCTCCTCTTTCCTGGCCTCTGCTCGCTAAGCAGGACCCCGGAGCCTGATTTTCCTGGACTACCAGGTCACGAGCCTCCTGTTCCCCAAACGTCTGCCCCTTAGCGGCCCTAGTGAGCGGCGGACTCCAGGCCCTCTCCACAGCCTCTCCAGGAAGGTGCACCCTGGAGGCTTGGAGAACAAGCTCAGGCCTTGTGTGCCAAGAGCCACACCCCCACACCACCTGTGTGCCTCACAGGAAGCTGCAGAGAGACAGACAGACAGACAAGCTCCCGCGATCAGCCCGCCTGAAAGAGCACACTCTATACTGTAGCAGCTGGTATTCCAGGTACCAGAGTCGGCCTGGACACCTGTCTGTGCCTCTTCTTCTCTGTACTCCTGCCCTTCTCTTCCCCCTAGCCCTCCTTGCCCTTCCTTCTCAAGTCAGTCTGTCTTCCTCTCTTCCTTCTCCATTGCCTTGGGGTTGACCCGACTTGCTCAGAAGAGCCTGCCAAGACTGACTGTAGCAACCCCTTAATTCCACCACCCTCCTCCCTCCTTTTCTCCCTTTCTCCCCCCTCACCTCTGGTTCTGCACTTTGGTCTCTCTTCTTGATGTAGCCGCCTGTGGAGGGGAGCAGAGTTCCAGAAGAGGCTGACCTGGTGGTAGGGGATGGGAGGTGGTTAGGGAGGAGGGAGCCCAGTGCCCTCCCTCCACCCCCACTCCCTCCCACCTGCTCTGGTACCTGGAAGCACAAGTTCACTTCCCACCTCAGTACCATTGCGGGCGCTCCTGGTGAGCAGGTGTGGGAAGGTGGAGGAGAGCGCTAGCTAGGGCGCCCACCTCTCTCTGCAGGAGATGCTGTCGTCGCGCCCTGTCTGTGCTTTGTGTAGCACGCTCACCTGCTTTGTTCCATCGTGCGTCTGGTTCTCTGTCTCTTTCCTTTCCTCCCTCACCCCATTCTCTGGCCTCGCCTGTGGGTCTCTGCTGGCTGTGCCCCCTCCTTCCCTCTGGGTGTGCGTGGGTGGTTCCCCTAGCCGTTGTTGGTAATTGCTTTGTTTCTGATTATCTCAGCTATCTGGGCAGTGTTGTCGAGACAAGCCTCTCCTCCGCTCAATAGGTAAGGGAGCTCCTCGGCTGGGCTGGGCGGGGGTGGGCAGGTGGACGGGGCTTCGGCAGGGCCATCGCTTCGTTGACAGGGGATCCAAACCACATCCCCTCACTGCCCTGCAGGGGCAGCTGCCGCTCCTCGATTCCCATGGCTTCTGGGTTCCCACATTGCGCTGCTCCAGCTGCTCCAGCTGCCCGCCGGCCATGCCTGGGCACTCCTGGCTGCAGCTTTTAACCTCCCAGCCCACCTCCAGCCCATCGTGGAGATCCCTGCAATTGCTTTCACTCAGACCCTGGTCATTCTGCTGCCAACACACCCAGAACCTCCCATAGCAGTACCAGGACATTGCATGTACCCTGAAGGACTCAGAATGCCCATGATCTGCTTTGCATCTCCACTCATGGGGACCTGGGCCCACACTGGTATCCAGGACCCTCCCCTTACCACCCCTGTACCTCTGCCCTGTTTTCCCAGCAGCTTCAGGCATAGTGTCCCCCCTGTTCCCTACTGACCTCCCCCCCGCAAAGACTTACCCTGGGGTTGCTGGTCCCTCACTCCCTTCATGGGATCTTAATGATACTAGGTTATCTCAAGGAGTTCAAAGCCCTTCTCTGAATCTTCCTCGGGGTCAGGTGGCTTCCAGTCCTGTCAGGCAAGGCTGGAAGTGTCATACTTCCCTATGCTGCTTGCATTCTGCAGCCTGTTCTTGGTTGTTATAGGACTGAAGTAGGGCCTTGCCCTCTGGTCCACATTGATTTCAAGATGCATATCATAGCTGTGCCAACCGCCTTGGGTCACCAAGAAAGGGTCTTGGAAGAGCTCCCTGTGGGAGAGGGCCAGTTTCCCCCAGGCAGAGTTGGCAAGAGATGAAAACCTTTTGGATCAGCACTGCATTCCCCACACTGCCCCTTCTCCCCCACTGTGTGTGACTGCTCCTCTAGCACCCTTCCAGGTAGAGGCCAGAAGAATGTGGCCATTGTAGGGGCCGTTGAGTCTCTTCAAGAGGCTCAGGACATGCAAGCTCCCCCTCTTTCATGGTAACCTAGAAAGATGCTTCTTTTTTGTTATGGACTCCATTACCCATGCTTCCAGGTGCCTGCATGCTGCACCATGTGCCTGGTGGGAGAGAAGGAGCCCTCTGTCTGGGTGCTTTTGGCTTCCCGGGTGAGAAGGAGCTACATACTTTCCCTGCTTTGGGAGGCTGCTTTTCCTAACCCAGGCCATAAATCTCACGTCATCATAAGAGTGGCTTCCCATAAAGAGGACTGCCTTGACATTTCTTTACTGCCTGCAGCACTAAAGCTGTCAGCAGCTAAGAGGCTGTTGAAGTGCCTGTGAGGCCAACTGGGTATCATGCCGCAACCAGTGGCACTGACAGGACATGAGAGCTGGCCGGCAGCGTTTGTGAGCTCCTCTGCTCTCTCGGCCTCCTGGGTGGATGCTGCAGAGGAGTGAGGATGATTGGCCACCCTGCACCTTCCCCATCCTCTCTACTGTCTCCATTATGACTTCTCTGTTGCCCCTAGAGCATGGTAGCTTTAGACCAGCTCCTGAAATGTGCCCAGACTCTGACCTCATGTGTTACTTCCCCTCTTCCCTAACTCTGATAACCCCTTCTTTCCCCAATATCCCTACCATGCCAGATCCAAGAGAAACCAGCCATCTTGTCACTGCTGTGGCAAACCCAGAAACCAGGGGCAGCGATGAGGGACCGTTGTTCCTCTTCTGGGCCTGGCCAGCATCCCCAGCCTAGGAGAACAAATCTTCCCACATCCTCCGAGTTAGACCTTCGTGGTGCTGGGCAACAGGAGCCTCCGCTCACTCTCCTGCTTGCTGAGTGCCTCCCTGGGTTGCAGGAGCTGCTGGGGCCATGGGGAGGTGGCAGGCTCCTCTGTAGATGCTGTCTTCATGCTGCGCCTTTGCATGTGTTCCCCTCAGTCTTGCTTGGAGAAGTTGTGACGCCTCTTGTCTATGTTCATTATCTCTGTTTCTTTTCCTTTCGATTTCTCTACTGTTCCTTCTGTCTGTATCTGTTGTTGTTTCTCTTTTCTCTCTCCCCATTTCCTCCTCTTCCCAACTCCCATCTCAATATGGAGAGTTGTATTATGTGAACATGTCCTTCTGGGGATTGGTAAGGGCTGGAGCCAGTTGCTTAGCTCCCCGCCAATATTGGTATCACACCTATTCTCAGATCTCTTGTCTAATCTCCTTTTCCCTTAATACCTAGTGTGACCTCAGCGATGTAGGAGGGTTTGAAAGCAAGGATGTGGTTCCCCTTTACTAGGGGAACCGTAAGAGAAACCTCTCCTAAGTTCTGAGGCAGAGCACTTGGTCTGTGCCCTCATCTTGCTGCAGAGGGACCACCTTGTGGCCAGGCTGAGTTGTTGCAGACATGTGAACTCTTGGCTGTCCATATGGTACATGGAGAAGGGTTCCACCTTTCCATAGCTATAGTGTCTACATGAGTGGATTCCTCCCACCAACCTGCCTCCCATCCACAGCATGCTCTCAAGCAGTTAAGAAGAGGAAGAGGAAACTGTTCTTTAAGCCATTGCTTCTGCCTGTTGACTGAGAATAACTGAGAACTATCTTAATGGCCAGTTCTTAGGGCACTGAGGGAAGGAAATAGCTAGATGGATTTTGACTTTCCTGCCTTGGGATTTGTCTGTATTTTCAGACTGGCTGCCTCTTTCCTCAGCTATCCTAGGTAAGCATAGTGCTAAGCAAATAAGACTTCTTGGGCTAAATGGGTGTGTTATGGGATTTGTATGAATTTTGAGAGTGGGGGGGAAAAAGAGAGAGAGCGAGAGAAGAAGAAGAAGGAGGAGGAAGAGGGGGAGGGGGAGGAAGAGGAGGAGAAAGGAGAAAGGAAAGGAAAGAAAAGAAAAGAAAGAAAATATATATGGGAATCCCAGGCAATTTTCTGTAGTTCTGAGCTGCAAGAAACACCACTGGGTCAGAGAACCGGGATTTATGGGAAACTGAGACTGGAACGCCCTATAGGCTTTGAGGCCTCATCTTTCATTAGTACCCTTATTCCTGGGAGAGGGGAATCCCAGATTTGGCAACATTCCTATGTGTTTACAAAAATCTAGGCTTATTAGAAGGACAACTGGGACCTTAATTTGGAGAGTCCAGGGTTGGGTTCTGTTACAATAGGGTCATCTACAGGTCAAGTTCAGGTTTATTGATACCTTTCTTGCAGGGTTTGGAGGTTCTTAACCCCCATCTTCCTATCTAAGACTCAAAGCTTCAAAGCAGAAGGGTGCTAGGCAGACTTGAAATTGACAGGGGGTATGGTCATTTTTGCTAAAAAGGGAGTCAACTTGATTTCAGAGGGCTTTGTGTGCTGTTGCTAAGTCTGTTGGAATACATTTCAAGTATCTTTTCTGTATAACTTGCCTAAAATAAACCCATTTTGCCTGTCTGCCTTCCTCCCACCTGTACTGCTAGACACTGGCTATTATTTTTTTCCTTCAGCATTAGGTAAGTGTCCTGGTGCCTCCAGGCAAAGTCTTCTGCCATGTTGCAATGCCTGAGCACTGAGCCAGATGCTAAAACAGGTGTCCTGGAAGGGCTGGAGCTCGGCTGCTTCTCAAGGGAAAATTGGCTTCTCTTCCACAGTGCATCATTACTATTGGGAGTTTATGCCTGAAGATGTAACTTCAATGTGTTTTCCCCATCACTGGTTTGTCTTTCCCTGATTCTGACATCAAAGCAGAGAGCTACCAGTGACCAGCACAGAACAGTTTTTGTTCTGTTGTCGCTTCTATGCCTGTTTTTACTGGGAAGGAATTTGGAGAGGAGGTTAGCTAATATTAAAGTCCCTTGATAACTGGATTTTAGGTAAGATGCTTAACCTTTGTAAACTTCAGTTTTTCCATATGGAAGATGAGATCAGTGCAGGATTCACCTTTCAGCATTGTTGTAAACTAGAGACAATTATTGTAGAGAATGTAGGACAGTTCCTTGCATGGTAAGTGTTGTATGACAAAAACAATAATAGCAACATGGTGATTATAATGATAATATCCCCCCCAGGAATTTCACCTGGTTTGAAAAATCCCCAGAAATTTTCAGGGGTGCCCTGTTCCAGCTTTTCACAAGGTCTGAGCCCCGTGACCTCACTGGAGAAGGGACCACCTTGTGGTTGGGCTGGGTTGGCACTGACTTGTGAACTCCTGGCTGTCCATGTGGCACATGGAGAGTGGTTTCACCTTTTCCCTGTGTAGGAATGGATTTCCCCTGCCTCCCATCCTCAGCTTCTCACCAGACAAGTGGAGTTTGCTCTCAGGCAGTTAAGAAGAAGAGGAAGAGGAAAATACTCTTTAAACCACTGCTTCTGCCTGAGAGCTGCACTGTAACTGTGAATCACATGGGGTTGCTGAGAGTGCTGTTCTTGCCTGTCTTATGCCTGCACAGACCACAGTCACTTACCTTGTGTGGTCTTTCTGAAGAAGGTGGCCAGGAGAGCAGGAGGATTCTTTTAGGCAGCTTGAAGAAGCCTTGTTCCAGGCTGAGAAGGGAGTGAGAACATTCTCTCAGATGTGGGAAAGGCTTTCTCCCACCCTAGCCATTTCCACCCCTTGCATTCCAAATTCTCTTCCAGCTGCTACTGCAGCAGATACCAGTGGATAGACTTAGGTTTGTAGAAAGGAAGGAGTATGGCACTGGCATGTTGGCTCTTTGGAGGGACCTGACTTCTGAAGTGAGCTGGACTACTTCTCCATGAGATGCTTGTGCCTGTGTGCACACACGTGGCCTCATGTGGGTTGCGAGTGTGCCTGTGTACACATGTACACATGCATGTGACCTGTAGGGGTTGTGTGTGTTTGTGTATACATGCCTATGTTCTCATGTGGGCTGTGTGCACATGCATGTGGCCCAGTGTGGACTGCTCAGCACTGCTGGCACTGGTTGTGTATAGTTAAGTTATCTCTGCTTGAACTTTGAGGGAGCTTCGATACTTTATGCGCTAATAGACTTTGGAACAATGACATCCATCAAAGAAGATGGAGGTCACTTCCTTACCAGTTATTGCCGGAGACCCCAGAGACTAGAGGCTTACCTCCCATGAATATGTAAGTTTCCTCTTCCTCATGCTCACAGAGATATTCCATGTTGGGAGATGGGGCTGCAGTCTTTTTGTCCCTCTTTTTTTTTTTTCGGTCTCAGATGGCTTACTGACCTCTGGAGGTTTCTTTGGCCCTCACAGGGTCATCTGTCTTTTGATCAGGATTTATCAAAACCCAATTGTGATGGAGATGGGTGAGGGAAATGTGGGAGTTGGGAGAGGAAGAGTATGAGTCACTTCTGTCCATCCACATGGCCCCAGGATGTCCCTGCTTCCCTGATCATGTGCTAATACCAGCACTAGTGGGAAGAAACCATGCCTTGCCTTTCTCTTTTCCCATTTATTCCTCGGGCTCCAAGTTGGCTTACTTTGAGAAGAAGAAACATTGATAACATGTCTACTAGATTTTCTTTTTTTATAACTCTTGAAAATTCTCTGTAATAGGCACATACTGCTCTCTTCTCAGTTTGCTTTAGTCTCCTTTTTTACCTTGACTGCATATTCTCTGGACGATTGATTGATCACATCCTCACCATAAATTGATCTATCTGTCAAATGACAAAATTTATCCACAACTGGGGTGGAAAGAGGGGTCTGTGTATACAGGTCTCCTCTCCCAACAACCTCAGCATCTGTGTTGAATCTTAAAATACAGAATTCACTGATACTTGTTACACAGCAAAGGCTTTGTGAGGCTGTAGATTTGAACACCTTCATAATCACCTTCTGCCCGCTTCTGTTCTTTATGAGACCAGGGGAATCTGAGCTTAGTCTGTAGAAGGTCAAAGAGATACCCTGCCGAAAATGTTGGTCTATGACAGCATTTGTTGCTATTGGCTGCATCTTGTAGACAGACGGGAAGTAACCCAGTGAAGCTGAGTTTTATATAGCCTGTCTCACTAGTCATTGTGTTTCTTACTTACCCCTTCCTTTTTCTGGAGGTGGAAGATTGTTCATTGGGATGGGAGTTGCCCGCCTCCTGCTTTAATCTGCCCTTTTTCTTTTCAGTTCAAAGTCTTGGTTGTGGTGACGTGTGGGAACATGGAACCTGCCTCTTCTTTGCCACGTACTCATCCCAGCCTGAATGATGTGGGACGGGGCTTGCTATTAAAGTCTCTCTCTCCTTTCCTAGGGTCCTCTGATTGCTGTACAGGTTGGTTTCCATCTCAGGTAGGCCACCTGCAGCTGGAGCTTTCTACTGGCTTTTCTTCCTTCCAGGAACAGTAGGAAGGCAGGTGTCAAGGAACCATCGTGGACACCCTGGATTCTTCAGCTCCATCCTTTTATGGGCAGTTCTTTGGCTTTCTTCCAGCCCCTCTTCAAAGGCTCCCTCACCTGGGAGCTGACCTGTGCCTCTCTAATTGTCCCTTGCAGAATTCTTCCACCTGCATCCGGGAATGCTGCTGCACCTGAGAGGCTGGAGGCTCTGAAATACCAACGGATAAAGAAGCCCAAAAAGTCATCCAAGGGCTCTTCGAAGTCAAAGAAACGATCCGGTAAATGGTGGGAAGCTCTCGTTCCTCTTTCCACCTTGCTTTGTTCTTATGATAAGGATTGTTGGATCCAGGGTCCCTAACCTTAAGTTTTCTCTAGAATTGAATCCACCGTTCTCTTGTTCTTGGTTTCCTTTTAAACACTCATTTTCAAGTAATACACACGATTTTCATGTTGAAAATAAGAAAGATGAGGTGAAAATTTGATTTTTTCCCCTCCAATTCTTTTCTTCCCTCCTAGGGAACCATCACTTTTGGTGGTGTGTGCACTTGCAGAGTTCTTTCTGCATACAACTTTAGAAAATATATCCTGTTGTTTTAATATATTTCTGAGTTAAATAGTATCACATTTTCCCCATTCTGCAGTACATCTTGCAAATACCCCTGTCTCTTTATGTATTTCTCCTCTAGCATTTCAGACCCTCTGAAACATAGGAGTGATGAGGATAAGGATACATGTGGCACAGACCAACCTCTGCAAGTCAACCAAACTTGTCTTAGTGTGATAGAGTGAAATTTTCTTATCTTGTGAAGGGTACCTCCATCAAAATATGTCTGATGTTTATCTAGCAGTGAAAGGTAGCTTCTAAAGTAGACAGAAAATTCAACCCTCTTTAAGAGAATTCTTTTATCAAATACTCTCTTTGTGCAGGCAGTGAAGGAAGAATGCTCTACGGTTTCTTTGCAGATTTTTGATGATTTGCTGTAGAGTAACTTTTTTTATAGACAAGGTTATGGAAAAGTGCCACACAGATGTGAAGCCCTTGGGAGGCTGTGATTACTGATGGATCACTTTACTGTGGGTGGTACCAGTTCCCTGTCAGTTTGTAGATGGGAATAATGAGGCAGAAAAGACTAGAATGAATTTTTTTAGGGCTTGAGTGAGAAACTAGAACCTAAAGCTGAATTTTCAATTGATTCAAACTCATTTCAGCTTACAATCCATATATATATATGTATATGTACATGCATATGTATATATATATATTTATATATACATAGTGTATGTGTGTGTAGTCACATCACTTAACAATAGGAACATGCTTGAGAATGCATTGTTAGGTGATTTTGTCATTGTGTGAATATCACAGAGCATGCTTATGCAAACTAGAATAGCTAAGACATCATTTGGTGATATAATCTATTATATCTAACCCATCATTGTTTAAAATGTCACATGGAACCAGACTGTAAATTCTAATAAGTAAAATTTATTTATTTTTTGCAAAATAGGCCTGGTTTCTCTCTTGTTCTTATGACAGTGGTCTTGGTGCCTGTTCTGTGTTAACAACCCTTGAATGTCTGTTCTTACCCCAGTTGTCTTCTGTAAGGACAAGTCTCGTATTTCCAGTTGACTATTGAGCATGCACGTGGATGTTTTATAACCTTTAAAATGTCCCAAATAGAGCTATTGACTCTCTAGTCCATGTCTCCTCCCCAGTTTAGTAAATAGCACTGCTTCCTACCCTAGTGTCTCAGGCAGCTTTTTCTTGGGATTCTTCTCTTAACCCTTACAACTCACATCTGATCCATTTGGTAAGTCTGTTGGCTCAGTCTTTGCAATGTACTTTGAATCTAGCTGCCTTTGGCTGTTTCTACTGCAAAAACTGAAGGCTGAGTCCCCTCTTCTCTTGCCCAGACTAATACAAGTACCTTGTACCTGCCCTCCTGCTGGATCCTCTCTTAGAGCTATAGAGTGTGTCATACACAGCAACCAGAGCAAGCTTTAGAGAATGGACAGTTCCTCTCTTTCATGTGTGCACATATGTGCCCACACGTGCACACAATCATACATACTTCTAATTGAAACCCTCTAGAAGCTTCCCCCTGTGATTGGAGCAGATTTCAAGCTCTTTTGACATCCCTGCCTTATTATGATGATGTCTGTTCTGTCTGTAGAATGTGCCATATTTGCTGTGAGCTTGGGGTCTCTGCACTGGCTGTTCCTTCTAATGGGAGTAATTTTTCCCTCGGGTCTGTGGAAGGTAACTAATTCAAGACTCCAGTCAGGTGTTAACTCTTCAAGGAGTACAAGCAGTTCCTCAGTTATTTGCTGTCACATGGCCCTATTTTACCTTTCTTTGTCACACTTTCAGCATCCTATTTCTGTATTTTTAAAGTCTTGACAGTTTGTTTCTTCCTCCTCACACCCAAGCTGAACTACAATCTTTCAGAAAGCAAAGCTTTCCTACTGCATCCCCAGAAGGGCCATGAGGTAGAGGAGTGGCCCAGGAAAGGTCCAAGTCTGATTCTGTCACATGTAGTTGACATCTAGTATAGAGTCTGCCATTGCTATGGGTGGTGAGAGAAATGTATGGAGGCCCAGCCCATTCTTAGAAGCTGTCATTCCTGGCACCTGGAATGATGCCTGGTACCTGAGAGGCATTGCAAGTCAAATATTTGTAGATTGATGGGATCTATGAGTTTATAGAAAGAAAATGCCTACCCTACTTCCTTGTCTTTCATTAGAACAAGGAGGGCAGGGTTGGGTTGTTGGTTGCCTTAGTGGTGATGGACCTGGCTTCTCTGCAGCAGTTTGTTCTGGTCTTCCATCTGCTCCATATCCCTCTATTTCAGTAGGAACTCAGAATATAGCCCTGGCACACACATAAGGGGAGTGTGTGAGGCTGTGTTTCTCCTGTTCACCCTTTTCTCTTCTCTCTCTGTTGTGTGTGTGTGTGTGTGTGTGTGTGTGTGTGTGTGTGTCTATCTGTCTGTCTGTCTCCCTCTGCAGATGGTTCTGCCTCCCAGGCTCAGCAGCTTCCCAGCTCTCAGGTTCTGTGGCCTGACGAAGCTGTCTGCCTCCGAAAGAAGAAGAGACACTCTCGTCCTGACCCTTTTGCCCGGCTCTCTGACTTGTGCCACCGCCAGCTTCCAGAAGACCAGACGGCTATCCTCAATAGCATGGATCATGACGACCCAGGCCATGCCACTCTGCTATGACTCTAACCTCTCTAAGTGTCTCCAGGGCAGAGTTCTTGAGGGGCAGGGAGGGATATCATGTGGGGCCTTGTTCTTCTCTGTCCACCAAGGGGTGACCTAGACCGTTGCCATGTGTGCTCCCTGTCCTGCCAAAGTGAACTTCTCCCCCCAGATCTGGCCAGCTGGCATTGTCCATAGGATGGAGAGCTGCGGGGGGTCGGGGGGAGCAGACTGCTGCTATGGGTCTAAGTAAGGGAGTGTGTGAGGAAGAAGACATCTGTCTCTACCCCTACCTCTCCCTCTTCACTAAATTTTTTCTTGCTTCTTCAAGTGTCTTTGGAAGTGAAGAAGAGGAAAGCAATGGCTTTTTACCACTCTCTGCTTCTGTTTCAGTTTTCTGAGTCCTGGGAGAGGGCTGGACTTCCACCCCATCTTCCAAACTCCACATATATATAGATATAGATACAAATGCACTTGTATGTAGTTGGTGGGTTTCTCTATGTGTATATATATGTACATTGAAGCAAAGTCTGTTTCTCTCTGTGGTCAGTGAAGGAAGGAAGGAAGGAGGGTAGTAGACAGCTAGGGTTTGTGAGTAGGGCTGGCTAAAAGCTGGCAGGATGCCTTCATGCTTGTCTAGGGAGATTATTCCTGCTGGAACAGGATTCATGCCTCTCAGCTGAATTGTTCTCTTTAGCTTCTTTCATCCAGAGAATAAATGGGCCCTACCAGAATTATCAGCTGCCTGCTTTTGGGGTTCAACAGTGAGCTACCACTGAACTAAACCAAGTCTTCATTGCTTAGTTCCTGGGTAAAGAAATGGTGGCCAGGCACAGGGCCAGCCTGGCATCTTTCTTCCTTCCACAGTTTGACTTGTGCAGCAGAAGTAGAAGCTGCTTAGCGGTGGGGTCTACAGGCAGTCCTAGTGCACAATCCTGAGCTCATATGACCATCAGTCCCTTTTGGCCTAGTCAGGTCTGAGAGCCCTGTGGCCAAAGGGCCTCCCTTTCTGGAACCACCTGTGCTGTGCGTCAAGCTGTAGCAGCTCTATTTATATCTGGCTAGGCTCAGCACTCTCTGGAGTTCTGCTCCACAGTCGCTGATTGGCCCCTCCTTTCCTTTTGTCGTAGCTAATTCTCCACATTGATTAATTGCCACTTGTGGGAGATGCCTGCGGTTCCTTTGCATCCTTGCCACATGCTGCCTGCTGACTCTGCTTTGCCCTAGGGGGTCTCCTCCATCACCAGGACCCAGGCTTCAGTAGCATGGGATAAGATGAAGTGAGGACGCCTCAGATTGCTGACTTCTGTAGTGCTCTTTCCCCAGTTTTCTTGCATTAAGCTGGCTGATGCACAGGAATGAAGGTGGAAGGGGTGGGAGGCAGAGAACTGGGCCCTCATCCTTCCTCTGTCCAAACCTTGTCGTGGTTCAAACTATTAGCACTCAGAAGCTTTCATGAGGCCATCTTCCTACTCAGATGCATCCCCCTCTTCCTGTAAGATTATGGTGCTGCCCAAGAGCAGGGCAGAGGACTGAAGGCTGAGTGAAGAGTGAGCATGTCCTCACCTGCCCTCTTGTGCAAGAGTCCACCCTTCTGGCCTGGCCTAGAGTAAGGGAGCTGCCAGCTTCCTTGAAGTGTTTCCTTCTTGGTGCTGTCTTGGTAGGTCTGGGGACATCTAACTCTCTCCAGTGACTTGCTTGGACATTAGCCATGTCAAAACACTAGAAGGCTTCTGCCAGTCTCATTGCTGCTACCAATGGCTCGGCCCAATGACCTAGGCAAGGTGTGGCCTCCGAGGGCTGGGAAACTAATACTTGTTGGAGCTTCCATCTTGGGGGATAGACTTCATCTCTGCCAGCCAGGGCCTGGTGCTTCCTTCTCTCTCCTAGTGAGCTAGGGACCAGCTCCACCATCAAGCCACACTACCACCACTGCTCATTTCTGGGTATGGGTCAAAGAGATGCAGAAGACAGAATTTCTGTTGCTCTGGAACTAGGCCATGTGCCCTAGGGGTGGAACTAGATTTTCTGGCTGATGTACTTCTCTGAGGCCTTGGAGTTCAGTTGATTACTGGGCAGCAGCTCTCACAAAGCAGATGAGTACAGTTGGGTGACTCCTAGTGTTCTTTTTAGAGGCAGCACTACCTCTGCCACTGTGCCACGATGGGCTGCTCACTGGAGCATCTCTCCCAGAATGTCAGGAGCAAGCCTACCTGAAATGTCTGGGTGGGATTTGAAGCCTCACAGTGAGCCAGCCTGTGACCTTTGTCTGCCTTCCTGTGGCGCATCTGCCAGCAGGTCCTGGGATGGAATGTGAATGTGGAGTGTCAAGACTGTTGGACTTTGGGATGAATTTAGCCAACTGTTCTGAATACCCTCCTGGGAATCCTGGCCCTGATGCAGTCTCAGTCTTGAAGTTAGAAAAGAAGAGAAGTCGAGGTGTAAAGCTTTGCTTCTTTAAGATGTCATATAGGGCAAAGAGCCAAACCTTGTGGGCCGAGGTGCCTCAGCCTGTGGCTGGGCTTGTGGGGGCCCGTGCTAACAAAGGTGCTGACTCTGTCCTCCTTTGCTTGCCTCAGGCAGTGCCTGTTACCTCAGACCAAACAGGGGAGCTGTACTTCTGGCTGCCACTGGGTGGTAGTTGTACTGTGGTGTCCCCAGTGCTGGGAAGGGACACAGGTCTACCTATTCTGCAGAGGCCTCAGACTCATTCTCTTCCCAAGAGGGCTTCCTTCTTGTGACAGCGTCTTTGGAGGCCAGTAGCTTTCCTGCATCCTTGGGAGAGATTTCAGTCCTTCCTTTGATGATTGCAAAGGAATTGGCAGATACAATTCCCTCTGTACATGGATGGAAGGGCAAGTGTCACAGGTACACTTTTTAAATGTTGGGTGCGGGCATATGTGTGACAGTCTGGTTGGGAATGTGTGCAGGATAGGGTGTATCCATTTCTAGGAACCAATGTCCTTTGCAGTCTGCCTTTGATTGCAGCAGTGACCACTATTGAACTTTCTAGTACTTTTACACTTCTCTTTGTGGGACATCACATGTCTTCTAAACTTCTTCCTTTAAGGTCTGGTAGTCTTGCAGTAGAGGTAACCCAGATAAAAGCCTATCCTTGTGTCTCAGATTTTTGTCTGCCTCTTCCTTCTGCTTCTTGGCTGGAAACAATGACTGTTTGAACTTTTGGTGATCCATGGACCAGGGAGAAGGTAAAATGATTCTCTAAGGGGCCCCAAAGACTCAGTTGTTTAGGGGAAGATGAGCACTGTGGAGGAGAAGGTGAATCCTTCTTCTTGATCAGTTGGCTGGCTACCAGTGCGTTTCATGCTTTGAGTCTTGTGTGTGGATTGTTATTGGTGATGGTGGGCCCTGAGTGCTGGCCAACCTACCTTCCTTCCAGATTTCCTGGAGGGACTAGGAGTAGAATGGGAAAGGCCTTCTGAGATTTACCTTTCTCAACAGGATGTCTGCATTCCAGATGGCTGGCAGGATCTGAGCCCTCCTTCAAGGAGAGATCTGGGTGGTTGGATCATGCCCTTGGGAGAGGTTATACCAGGGGTAGATTGGGTACTTGAGTACTTACCAAGTACTTATGGAGATTTTTCCATTCTTTTTGTCTTTAATTTTGAATAGTGATCTAAAATATTTGGGGTTGAATGGATTTCAGTGGTTTGTTCCTCTACCCTTTTCATGAAGAGAAGACTGGGTAAGGTTCAAATGTGGAACTTCCTTTTTTCCCTCCATGGGAAAATTGACCAACAGTAGTGTTGGGAGAGAAACAGACATTGTGGAGCATCAGGGCATCTTTGTCTCTGCCCAGGGTTTGAATCTGGGGCTGATGTGTGTGTGGCTGGAGTTGTTTCCAATTTTGTTAGTGAAAGCCTTTTGGGGCTGGGGGAAGGAGGGCTGGGAGAAGAATTGTAGATAAGTACATTTTGTTAATATGCTGAAAACCCTATAAAAGAAAAGCTAATGGTTAATCTTGGGCTTGCTTTGGTTGCATGTAAAGGATCTTTGGGGGGCACTGCAGGGATTTTTGGGGGAACAGTAGGAAGGAGTCAAAGGGCAGATGGGCAGGAACGAGGGGAGGTTCCCGATGCTCTCTCTGGGAATGTGAGCATGGTTTGGCTCCACCTTTTGTGACTTCTCCAAAATGAAGCCAGAGCAGATTCCAGAAAGATGGAGGCTCAGAGCCTTGCTGGCTGTGTTTATTGCTTTGGGGAGAGGGCGCATGGAGAATTGTACTCCAATTCTGTACTCAGTGCAATAGCCAGTGGGGGCAAGGATATTTCAGGAAGGAGACTTAGAGAGTTGGACACTGAATGGAGGCCCCATCCTTTTTCAAGGCATGTGACTGCAAGGGGCATCATGTTAGATCTGTCATGGAGTAGACAAAAGGGATCCTGAGATAACCTAGTATGACCCAAACAGGGCATCAAGTCTACAATTCTCCTTGGAGCATGTGACAATTTAGCTACTCCTAACAGTGTAGTGTACACGTTAGGGGGGTGAGCATGCCAAGGAAATAATGTGACTTCCTGTGGGCACAGGCTAGGGGCGGGGCAGTGAAGAGCATGTGTAGAGGTGTGGGAGTGTGGGCCCACCTGACAAACAAACCCAGACTGGGTCTTGGAGGAGGTCTTGCTTCTTAGCTAGGCTTTCTTGACTCTTCTAGAATCACTCTAATACTGATTGCCCAAACATGGACGCCTTCTCTGACATACTCTTCAGCTTTATCTGTTTGTTTTGGGGCTTCTTTAGGTTGAAAGCTGGGAGACTCTCCTTGAAATACCTATCCTATCACTAGCTTTTTGCCAGTGGAAAACAAAGGATTGTTTTTGAGAGTTCATGTGTTTATTTTCCTAAGCAGAAGTGGCAGGTTGCCTTTCTTTTTTGTCCAGTATCTCAACATGTTCAGAAGACATTGGTAATGGGTGATAGGAAGGACTTGGGGTGTGGCTTTGGTATTTGCCACCTTTCTCAAGGCATAGAGGATTCCTTCAGCCTATGGAGTTACACAGTGGCCTTATGCCTAGAGGTTTTGTCTTCACTTTCTCTTCTTTTGACAGGTTTTACCAGTCTGTGGGTGAGGTAGGAGGGTGATAGAATTTCACCCTAAAATCAGAGATCAGCCATTCTACCCTTTTCCTTAATGTCTACAATTCTGCTTCCTTTTGAATCAAGAGGTGGAGTTAAAAATCTCTTCTTTAGAAGTCAGTAAACCAAGGATCAAAGCCCAGCTGGGATGTTAGCACTCTTACCAATTTGGGGTTTGAGTAGGTGTGTCTCTTACCAACCGTCCCTCTGACCTATGATGAATTGGTATGGGTCTAGAGCCTTATTTCTGGGCCCTGTCTATACTTTCAAATAAGTCTTTTAGGAGCAAATATATTGTCCTCACCAGACGTTTCAGCCATTAGGTTACCAAGAGGGTAGAAATTTTTTCATGATCTCATTTAAGCTGATAGAAAAATTCCCAACCAGTTGAGTCTGGTCCATAGATGCCCCTTGACCCTAAGGGTTTCTGCGTAGATAAAGGAAAAATTAGGCATTAGTGCAAATATTATTAATGGCTGGTCATGCCAAAGAGGGAGAAGAGTCATCATATCTTGATGGCTAAATACTTTGGTGGAATAGCAGCCAGTCACTGAATCACTTGGACACTTGAAGTAACTTGGACATTCTCTCCTGAGTGGGTCAGTAGCAGCAGTTAGGGATTCTGCACAGAGCTGATGAAAATAGTTATCAGCTTTGGACCACTGGCTGGGAGAGCTAGATTGGGAAATTCAACCAAAGTGGTACAAACTCTCAGTTCTTTGGTTGTGTACCTTTTCTATTCCACTAGATGGCAGAATGAATGGCTGTCTAGGTCTGTATTTCTTCTAGGTCTTGAAGAAATGTGCCCCACCAATCCCACTGGTATTGGATTTCCTGGATTTATTTTAAGAACTAGGGCACGATCTCCCCCTCCACCACATATACACACTTATGTATGGCTCAACTTATGCATGGTTTATGATAGAGGTGGCTGGGGTGGGGAAGGGAATTGGGGAGGGCACAGGGATCGGGCTGGGGAGGGGGATTTGCATTTTCAGGCTCAGAAATACTGCAAGCATGCTTTTGGGCAACATGAGGGGTTTTCATGGTAGGGACAAATGCCCAATGCTCCTCATATTAGGGGATGAGGGCTTAAGGGTATTTTGCTTCCTTTTGGCCTAGGGATCTATGACATGTTATATCTGGTGGAGGGGAATGAACCTCCTCATGGCTGGTCATCTTGCAATCTTTGGAAGGGAGACTGTCATTCACTCTGCCAACAAGTATTTATTATTGCCTACTGCAAACAATGAGAGGTCTGTTGCAAGTCTACATCACCTTGGCTGGGTCAGAGAAGTGGAATTATCTCACCTGTCCCTCTGTAGGTACCAGATTATCTTCCTGGTTCTTAACCCCCAGCCAGTTGTTTCTTCCAGTGTTCCTTTCCTGGGTTCAGGAAGTGTGGTGGGTATGTGCAACTGTGTGTTTATGTGTGTTGTGAATACATGATATCTGTATGTGTGGGATGTGTGTGGGATGTGTATGTGTTTTTGGGGTGTGTGTGTGTGTGTGTGTGTGTGTGAGTGTGTGTGAGTGAATGTTGTATGTAAGAAATTTGCAGGGATACACTGCTTTGCCTGAGTAGCATCAGGTCTAGAAGGCCCTCTTTTTGGTTGGCTCTTTCTTTGTTGGACAACTTCTGTTTTGGTAGAGGGTCACATTAGTAATACACCATCTTGAGTGCATTTTTATGGAGATTGTATATAAAACTATATAAATATATATAAGTTGTTCTATTTTAAGGAGAGAGGGGAACTATGTGGGGGCTGATGATCAGCTGCAATAGTGCTGACTTACAGTGGGAGCTTCAGGCAAGTGGTCCATGTGGAGAGTGGGAGTAGGCAGGCAAGTAATACAAGCCACGCAAGAGGAGCAAGGGCCGTTGTCCTCTACATGCATATATAAACATGAAGAAAAACTATAATGTCTATCTTATCTATATATCTGTATAGCTATATGAAGTCATAGTTTGCTTTATTTTTGTACCAGTGCTTAGAGATGCTTTGAGTAGCACCACCTTCCCCAGGTGGTCTGGGGTATTACCTTGGTGCCATCTGCTTTTCCATCCTTCCTGGGATACACTCTCTGTTCAGAGCTGCTTAGGTCTTTCTGATGGAAATATGTATATATGAAAAAACTTTAAAATAACAAAAATAACTCATTGTAGAAAGGACAAGTGAACTGAAGATAGTGGTGAACTACTGGATCTGATAGTTCCAGATCTAGTCCCTGGATCTGCATGTCTCTTGCTAGGAGGGGACACTATTTGACAGAGGTGCCCAGCATAGAGACGATGATGGAGAGTGCTGGACACCTCATGAATTCATCCCTTGTGTCTGGGGGTTGTACTCAATTCCTCAAAAGGAATCAGCTCAGAAGCTAGAAAGGGGGATATCAAGATTATCTGGGGACCTACAGTAACACCTGTCCCCATATGTAGCACCTGAGCTCAAGCAGCTGCTGGAGGTTATGGCAGTGAGCTTTTGTGAGACTGACTGCGTGGGCTCAGTCTTGGAGAAGAGACACCCTGGTGATTATTGCTAGATTCTTAGAACCAGTGTAAATGTGATAGGTAGTATAAATATATCATTTATGCTTTTTTTTCATTTATTTTTAATTGGGAAATAAAGTGCTGTTGGAAATGGCATGGTCCAATCCTGGGACACTAAGAGGATCAGGAGTGAGAGATGAATTTTGTGTAGGACTGTGAGAATGAGTCCTAGTGGGACCTTCCTGTGGCACTCAGCCTGGTCCTTATGAAACTAACCAATGTGTTGGAAGAATGTGACCCAGAATGGCAGATTTGTGGAGTAGGAATTCACTTGTGTTTGAGCAGGAAACTTTGTCCTGAAGAATATTTCTCTGAGAATCCAAGACCTAACATGTGCTTCAAGGGCCACATGCCTTGCAGGTATCTCCCGGGTGCTAGTTTCTTCTTCTGATGTGCCAAGTGCTCAGAGTGGTACGTTTGAAGCTGGTGCAGGATAGAATGGTGCATAAGCCAGGAGAGACTCATGACTGCAGTCTCTCAGCAATTCTTTCTGCTCCTCACTCAAAAAAAAGGGCATCCTCTTCTCCAAGTGAAATGCATTGCTATCTAAGAGTGCTTGTCTATGGTGTTTAATCATTGGAGAAACTCAGATGCCTTGACCATGAGAAGGGCTCTTTTTGCATTTTAGGGGTATTATGGGAAGAGTAAGTTGGGGTGGTGAGTCTAACTCCTGATCCTTACGTAGACCTTATGGGGCCCTGCCATTCATCGGGGCACTGATCTTGGATCCCCAGGATAATCTCAGAAAGAACACTTCCCATTTTCCAATGATACTGCAGGCAAATGGGCTATGTCCATGCAGTACTGGAAGGGCTGCAATATTGGGTCCAACTGGCAGTATGTCCATCCTTAAAGGAGGGCCTTTTTTTCCCCATAGCCTCCTCAGGAGACTTAAGGATGTTACAGCCAGGTGTTTCTCGTAAGATTTTTCTGGGAGATGGAGCAAGAGGAGGAGCAACAAATTCTATTACCTTCCCAGCTTACATCAGCTCCCAAGTACCAAAGAAGGGTTTCCATGACTATTCTTTTGGCTCTTAGAGCCAGCCTCTTCTCTCTCTCTGTAGACTCTGTCCTACTTCTGGTCACATGATACCAGCAGAATCAGCCACTTCAGCACACAGGCACCTCACAGGGCTCATATTCCATGAGGCCCAGGGTTCCTCCATCACTCCACTCTCTTTCCACACTGAGCCCAAGGATTGATACTCCAAAACTCCAGCAGCACCAAGGTACATGAGATTGGGTGAGCCTGCACATTCCCATCCTATTTTGTCGTGTCTAAGTAGACCCTTCATTTTAGGGAAGACAGGAACATGTCCTCTGCCATAAAATGTTAGAGCTTAGGGATGATGTTACTTACCTATACCTTTTCCATGATCCAGATTTCAGCAAGATTGTGCATTGGAGGAAAAAAATCTCCCATTTTGTAGAAGAGCCAGCCTTTCACAAAGGCATGAGTAAAGGGGATTGGGATCTGATTATATATGGAGTAGGCAAGATGAACCCCTCAGTTAATGGGACAGGTATTCTGATAAAGCCTTTGAGGCCCACACCACGTCCAAGAACCTGAGCTATTACACATACTTCCTCCTGATCTCTAGGTAGTGGAAGGCATATTGAATTTTGGTGCTTTCTCTTTTGGAAGGAGGTGGTGGTGGTATGTGTGTGCGGAGGGTGGAATCTGTAGAGTTGTTTTAGCTTTGCTACCTCTGTCTGCTATATGGAACAAGAGTGGGGAGTAGACAAATCCTCTGGGACTTGCTTTTTTGAGGATCATGTGGGCTTTCTCCTTTTCCCCACTGCTGTCAATCAGAAGCTTGAGGAAGAGGAGTCATCCATTGCTCCTTGGCTTTTGGCTGGGCCCTCCCACTCTTTGCTGTGGATGTTCACATGGAACTACT